GGATGATGGCGCTGGAAGGAAGTTATTATCTATCCTTTTCTTTTGGGTGTTATCTATCAGTTAAAAGGAACATGAGCTAATCGATTGGTGTGGTTTTGGTTGGTGCTGTGTATGTACCCCAATCACCCCCAAGGATGCAGGGAACGAATCTGATGGTGTGACAGAAGCTGATGATGTGAAGAATGTTGTTGGTACAGATGAATCTAATGATGACACCAAAGTTATTGAGAATGCGTCTATGGGTTCTAATGGAGGGGAAAATTGTGTGGTTAAGTGTAGGAGGATAATAAGGATTTGGGGTGAAGCATGCGAACAAGCTGACGCAGCTGTTACTGCACGTAATGAAGAGTTTGTTCAGGCTCTCCGCAGCCTAAAGAAAACTACATGCTTTGCAGATTATTGGGTTGAAAAGTAATTTTCTATCAGTGAAGGATTTTTATTCGTATACACAGTGTTTCCATTTTAGTTTGTTGTGTATTTGTTTGTTAATCTTGTATTTTTTTTTTTGACAAGTTCATGAGTGCTGATTTTTCTCTCAATGTAGCTCTGGATACAAAGCGACGTTTTGATGCTATGATGGAACTTGAGAAGGCAAAGCTTGAGGAAGCATATCTGTCTGTTTCTAGTGGGAATGGTGGGGTTCCTCGAGAAGAATTTGGGATAATCAAACTGGTGGACTATTCGTCCTCGTCCTCTGATGAATCTGGAGTAATAAAGTTGGTGGACTATTCGTCCTCTGAGGAATCTGATTGAGTCTAGTTCTGGAGGAGCAGCCTCGGTGGATGAAAATGAAGGTATATAGCTAAACACTAACCGTAACACTGGTGGATGAAGGGGGGTGTTATAGGTTCGAGAAGTATCAATGAGATATAGTGATATGCTTAGTTTGTTTTGATTGAATGGTAGAAGTGAAGAAAAGAATATGTGGATATGAAAGGATGTTCATAGGCTCTCGAGGAGTATCAATGAGATAGTGATATATGCTTAGCTTGTTTTGACTGAGTGGTAGAAGTGAAGATAAGAACATATGGACATGGTCAATTGTTGGCCTTTGTAGTTTGGGTACATATATACTAGGTTTATCATACCATACCTACTCAGATGACTTTGGTGGTAGGAGTTTTGAGCTTTAAAACAGAGCTTCTTGGTCATGTAAGCTTCATGTTCTTTGATAATTGGTCATGTAAGCTTCATGTTCTTTGATAATTGGTCATGTAATGAAACATATGCGTACTGTTTTGACTTTGGAGTTTTGAGTACATTTTGGAGTAGAGAATATTTTTTTCTGAGAAAGCAGAGCATTCTTCTTGTACGGCTGCAATGTCGTTGTTGATGATAAGAGTTCGGCTGCTGTGGGTGGAGAAGAAGAAAGAAACAAATAGGGTTTGATGGATTGGGCCACTCACTCCACTAAATTGTACCTTAAAATGTTACGAATAGAATAGGCCCATTCCATGGAGGAGGAGGAGGACAACATCACGGTAAACTTTGGGATTTTATTAAGCTTTTGAAGTTTTTAAAGCTATAAAACATTTAAATTTTTTATTTATTTTATTTTTTACGAGGGTTGTGGCAGCACTTTGATAAAAATATGCTAGTATATGAAATTATAATATTATATATTATATATAAATTAAAATAATATAGTATTCACACTTTTGATACGCTCTCAAATTAGAATTCTTAAAAGATATACGCTCTTTTGTTATTGTTTTCGCTCCACGAATCGGTAAGCTAAGTTTGGTGTGGTGTGGTCGACGTCGGAGGTAAGTGGCGCTTATATTGCTTCAACTGAGGATGAATATACAGGAAAAGAAGAATATTCTTTGGACTGTGAGGTTTGCATGTGACTTTATTTCATTTAGGCCTCATAGTATTATTATTGTTACGAGTAATTATTATTAATCCAATAATTCGAATGGTTGGAAGTGGTATATGTGTGGATCTTAATTTTATTTCTTTTAAGTCATATAAATTGAGGTCGACTCGTGAATTTGAATTTCGCACAAGCCCCGCAATACTATGTACTTTAAGTGATCTTTCGGATGAACTAATTATCAATATGATATTTGTAGACATGCAGCAAGTCCAACTCATATTGGGACTTGCCATGCATAACCAACTTGGTGTTATTTCCATCGATAACACCAACATCATATTTACTTCCAACTCCAAACCTGCAACTCCAAATCGACTTCTCAATCTTTAAATCAATAACAATCTTTATGTGATCAACAGACGTTCCTCGTATCCATGAAACAGATCGTTATCTGCTATAGCGCCAGTCGATCGTTTTGCATTGAAACGATTCGAAATATTGTTGGAGCATCATGTCACATATGTGTTAGCAGACGAGTTTCTTTTACAGTCATTTCTTTCTTTCTTTGGGTGAGCAATTGTAAATTTCCAGTTCCACAGTGGAAAGAACCCTAAACCCCCACCACCATATGTAAGATATGAGATTATCTATCAACCCCAGTTTTGTACAATGCAGAGATCAATCTTATACAAATGATCCTTTTCGAACAAACGATGAACACTTGTATGACCAATCTTATACAAATGATCGTCAACAAAATTGTCTTCCTTATATATGGATGGATAATTAGGCGAATATATGTTTTGATTTGGTTTTAGGACGAGCCGATTCACTCTTCAGTGCTAAGTTCGACTTCCACCACTACGCAACCCCTCTACATAGAGGCTTTCGCGTAGTCTTTTTGACGAAATCATCCTACAAAAATAGATTATGAAAATTAACTTTGACCTTTCCTAAAAATAAAAGAAAGAAATTTACTTTCAATCTACCGAAAGAACGCAGAGTTTGCATCTTCTGATGTTGCATTTCCAACAACTATCGTCTTCACTCTTCCTAACTTCGAATCTCTTCTTCCTCATGGCTTTCACCATTTCTTGTACAAGCCGAGTTGGCTTGCATGTGTTACAAGTTACAACCAATTGCGATTTCATACACTCTATCAACTTTTGAGACAGAAAATATTAAAATTCATGATTGCTAATTAAAAAAAAATCACTTAACAACGGCATAGGATTTCTCTTTTGGGAGGGACTAGTAGAAGGTGAAAATCCAAATCCGTTCCTAAACAAGAAAATCATGTATTGATTACATTAATTAATTACTTTATTAGGATAAAGCGAGGGAAATAAATAAATAATATAAAAGCAAAAAACAAAATCCCGGAAAATCGAACACTCCTAGAACAAGTTAAAAATCGTAAACCCCGAAAGGGCAAAACGAAACCAAACAGGTCCCCTTCCCTTTCTCCGTCTCCTTCACGCCTTTCTTCTTCGATTCTCCGATCGTTTGGTTTCTCTCAGGACTCAGGCGGTTGTTCTTCGATAGAGGAGAAGAAAGGAAGCGAGCGGAGGTAGCTAGACCGAAGCCATGTCCAGCCTCTCCAAGCCGCCGCAGTCCGGCGACGATCATCCTTCTCCGGAGCCGGAGCTGCCGCGGCTGGCTGAAAGCGCTTCATCCGGCGGAGTTACTGTCCCGGTCATCATCGGCCTTCATTTGAGAGGCGTTGCTGATGATTCTCTTGCTGTACCGCCACCGCCGCAATCTCCGACTACTGAAACCACTCCTCCGGTGGTTGATTCTTCTCCTTCGCCGCCTGCTCCGCAGGGTTTAGCTGGGGTGCGCAAGGATCTCGCCGAGATTAAGGGGAGCTTGAAGGCTGGTTTGTCTCTGCTCTCGCGGACGGGGATTTCGAAATTAACCGCCAATTTCTTCCATGAGAGGATAGACGAAGAGGAGGAGGAGGAGGAGGAAGGTGGTGGTGATGATGACGAGGAAGAGGATTACGTGCCTGGGATCACGGATGAGGTCGTTGAGTTCGCTAATCAGATTTCTGCTAGGTCTGCTTGCTGGACCGACTTTCCGTTGGCTCTCGAAGCTGGTAAAATCCTGCTCTGCCTCCAACTTTCGGGTTTCGTTCCTTCTTTATTGCCGCTTGATTGGTAGTTTTAGGGTTGATGATATTTGGGGCTTGGAGGAACAATCATGTTGGGAGAACTTAACTGGTAGTTCCTGTAGCTAGAACGCTAGTGTTTGTAGACAGTTCAGAATTTTGGCTGGTATTTGGAACGCCAGGAATGGCTTTCTTGGATGTTCTTAGCTATGGTTCTGAATTGAAGGATAACTAGAGAGAGCACAAGCTTTGATTTGGTGGTTCTAACTTTTGTTTTTTTGCAGACTTCAAGTTCTCTGATGCTCAGAGGGAGCACGCTGCAACTATTGAGTACATGGTTCCGAGTTTGAGAGCTCTGAGAGTTAGCCTCCATGGTTTCATGAGGTCTGAGCAGTTCTGGATGGTGTATTTCATTCTGCTGCTTCCAAGATTGGATGAGTATGATAGGGAGCTTCTCTCTTCTCCCCAGGTAAGCTTTCAGTTTGTATCCCGCTTATTTCTCATGAGCTTTTGTGTGTAGATAAAGGTAAAAGGATACGTTTTTTTTCCTTGACCAAAGCACGAAATATACTTGGTCATTCGTGGGTGGCTTGTACACAACTGGCTTTCTCTTTTTTTCTGCTGCTGTTTGCTATGATATGCAACAAGCAAAGCGGTAAATGAGCTGTGTAGTTAGTTTAGTACTAAGAAGCTGAACCTTGATATGGTCCTTGAAATTAGTTAATTTTACATGCAGAACGACTTCTGTTACAAGTTGATGTCAGTTGTTTCAAAAAGAGTGGGTTTTGGAGTTTATAGTAAGCAAAATATGTTGGAATAATGAGCATATTCTGTAGCAAGTCATCCCAGGTCAATATGTTAACTTGAAGAGGGTTTGACAGGTCTGAACTGAAGTTAGGAAAATAATGAGTTCTGTGCATCGTCATACATCATATATCGATTCAACTGGTGGAAAGAGAGAAGACGAATATGGTTTGTTCTGTGATTCTGTCACTTGGCCATGGCGTTGTGTTGTTAAGCAAGTCACCTAAATTCTAAGGGGACATTACATAAAGGCTTAATTCTTTTGGGTTTTGGCATTTTTATGAAACTTGAGACCAAATCCTTCATACCTGTGTAGTCGATGTCTATTATTTATGACTTCAATTCTAGTTGTTGCTACTTTCCTGGTGTCAATTTTCGACCTTTTCACATTCGAACTTCGAGTTCCTAATGTTCGCATTGTTCAGACTACTTACCCCCTATCAGCACATACGAGCTGCATCTTCTCTTACAAAACTCCTGAACCTGCTCTTCGCAGGTTGTTAATACCCGAAACAGGCTTCTCCAGAAGCTCCAAGCCAGCAAGAACGAGAAGGTGGAAACCTCTGAAGATGCATCTCAGGGTAACAGCAGCACCAGAGACGAACCGAACCTCGAGCCACGCCCACAACCTTCAGATCCTGGCGTCAGTGTCGGTACCTCCTCCACGAGCCGCAAGAAGAAGCATGCTGATGAGCTTTCTTACTTCTCGTTCAGCGACCTGGACGACGATGACAGCGTATTTTCGGGCAGGCTCTCGACCTGCAGCCGGTCTCGCGGGCTGAGAGATCCGTCGCCTGGAGGATCTTCGACCGAATGGGTCCAGCTGAACCGTGGGTACGACTCTCGAGGTGGATCCATCAGGTCGAGGCAGTCGATCTCTCGTGAGAAGGACTCGGATGCAGATTCGACCGCCAGTGAATGGCTGAAAGTTTACGAGTCTGATTAAATAAAAAGGAAATTGGCTGGCCTTGCTCCAAAATTGTCAATATTTATTACTGTAAATCTGTTACTTTGTTGTTCTTTTTTTCTTATGGTTCTTTTGCAGTCTCTCTCTGCATGTCGCTTTGTAAATTATGGAGTCACGAAACATGTGTCTTCTTCTTTGTTTCCTTGTTGGTTGGCGTCTATTAGTTGATGAAATGTAAGATTGTGGTCGTGATCGTAAGAACTTCAGGCACAAGTTAACAGAGATCCTCAGTATGGGCCGGGCCCATCATTATCCTGAATTCGCAGCACTTTTAGGGCCGAGATGGCTTTCACGGGGCCTAACTTGATCGGTATTGGGCGGCTTTAGCTCCTCGTCACATATATGACGAAAATTGTCAAACCTCCAACTGGAACTACTTGCTATGAATAGCGGGGGAGATGAGCCAAGTTTTGAACGAGTTTTTTTTCGAGTCGTAGTAAGTAGTAACGGGCAAGCGTATTATTATATATTGAATCAGAGAGGAGTGAAGGGTGGTCGTGAATGGTGACCATGGAATTCTTCATGGAATCTTTTCCATTCACTCAAAGGAAGAGCTAGGGGGTAAAAGGAGAATATGATCAAACAATCCAGCCTATCTATGAATCATATGCATGTATACATAACGTAAGATGTTATCCTTTTCTGATATAGCTTTATTTTGATGGTTTATGGTATGATCTACCAAATTTGAGATGCTTGAATCACTGGCAAGTTTTTAGGAGATTGGTATAGGATCAATAATTGAGCTTCTCTCGCAACAAGTCAAATTATTGAGACAAAATGGTTTACGACATAGTAGCAGAGTTGGTTTTGGCCAAGTGGTCGCGTAAATTTGAACCTTCGTGACTCCCAATATTAACCATTGATTTAAGCACAAAGTTAAGTATGATGGAGTCGTGTCAATCTTCAATCCTGTGAGGTGGCTAGTGGTTGAGGACGTTTTTTTTTTCTTCTTCAAGATGGTAACGCGAGATTCGACTTCCCATCCCTAACCCCCTTCCTCCTTTCACTCTCTATCTCGCCAAACCATACGATATAGTTTCTCGATGAACATGATGTTTCTCGATGAACAAGATTAAAGTTTTTGTGACACCTTACTTACTCCTCCTAGCAATGTAACAATAATCATAGCTTCTAACTTCTGAAAAGAATCATATCTCGAGATATTCTCTGATCATACCAATCAATCTTATGATCTTGCACATGGCAATGCCCATGGCCTTTTCAATATCTCTATATGGTGACATATGAAAACCCTAAATCTACAATAATTCAGCACCAAACCCTTCTGTATCCACCTCATTATGTCTCGCCATTTTTATAAAGCTACATCTCCATAGATTGCTGATAGGTCTCCTTTCATGTGGACCTGACTATATAGATGTACACATCTATCCATGTATAATTTTCCCCTTTCAATTTTCATCTTCAAGATCGATTATTAGATTGTAAAAGCATTATAGCAGAATGGGAAGAAAAGCAAACAGATTTACTCAAATCCAGCTTAAAATACTTCAAAGAGAACGACTTTTCTTTCTTCTCTCTACCAACCGGCGGGTAACCAACTGGGGTATAGTGTATAGGTGTGTTCTTATCTAACAACTAACAAGTAAGTTTCTATCTTGATGAATGTGGTGTTATATTCGTACCAATGTTAATGAGTGATACAAGATTCGGGTTTTAACCTCTCAACAATAACTCGGGGTTGGTAGTAATTGGTCTTTAACATGCTAGATGATTTTTAGCCGAAAGGCAGAGATTTTCGAATCTTGATAATCTCTGATGGTAATGTTTATTAGATATTACTAAGGCATGATGGGCTTACACTATTTTAGCTTAAGGTCGATGGAGGAGGATTTCATTATTGTTTGATCGTCCAGATCATTCGCCACCTGCTCTTTTTTCCGATTAAACAAAATAGACTAGTTTTCGAGTAAAAATCTGAGCTCACTAGGTGCTTTCGGGCAACTAGCCAATCAGACGCGAGCCCCCTACTCGGACGGATTCCTCCTTTTGCTCCTCAGCCTACGGAGTATTAGTAGTCGTTTCCAACTGTTGTTTCCCTGGCCAATGGCAGGTTCTTACGCAATCTTTCTCTTTCTGGTCGTAGTCTCAGGTGGCAAAGCGGCTGACTTAGGGTTGAATTTCTTAATTCCTTCTACAAGCATGGCAACTTCACCAAGATTGGTGTGCTTTAATATGAGGGGGCGATATAGATATGGATCTTATAGCTTCTTTCAACAGCTCGTGTTATTGAAAAAGAGCTGGTTTCTCAAGAATGATCGCCAATTTAGCTCATGAAATATAACAAATATAGTTTTTTCTTGGAAAAGAGTAGAATCATTACACTAACCAATGCCATTAGATAAGTATGTATTTTTGTCCATCAAATGAATATCAAACTCTAGAAGTTGTGTCAAAGGAGCCAAGATGATCAATCAGCTACAAAATTATCACCGTGACAGATAAAACACACATAAATTTTATTAGAGAACGTCTCGACATAGATGAAACTCGTGCAAACCAATGACAAGTCTAAGGGTTGAAAATTATATTTGTACAAGAAGAAGAAAAGATAGGAGCCTATTATTGCTAAAAGATTTTTTTTTTTAAAAAAGATAGTGGCCTACTCTTTCTTAGTGGGGGAGTAGTACCACTTCAACTTTTATCACTCAAAAGAGATGGAGTTTGTATAAAAAGACTATTTGGCAGATTTCTATTGTCATCAAATGGCTGGTATTTGGTCCAAAAAGGAAGTAAACTTAAAAGTGCCTAAAAGGATAAAAAAAAAAGAGACACCTTAACCTCATTGCTTCAATTAGGCAAAGTGCCCTTTAAACACCTTTTGGCGATTGATAAGCTTTTTTGCTTTGGAGCCCTTGGATTGAGGGTATGACTTATTGTGAATATAGAAGGTATGTACTTATTGTAGGGTAGCATGGCCTTGTATAATTTGGACCCTACGTACATCTTCTTTTTCCCAAACAACACAATAATTGGTTAGATCAGCATAGTCATTGACTTATTGTAATACCCCATATGTCTAATTTACATCAAATTCAATTTCTATCGATAAATTGGCCATTGAGTATTCTCGGTTACGAAATGTGGATATAAATTTATCGATAGGGGAAATTTTCAGCTTTGCAAGTTCAGCATTTATCTCCTTCAACCTTCTACACTTTAACCGTTGAACTGGTGATGGGCTACTAACTACGTTCCAAAGTGGATCTGTTCTTTTTGCGGAGTGAATTCATATTTCGAATCTCATTTGCTCGTACTCCAACTAAACCTAAGTTTTGGGGGGAAAAATGGTTCATGAATGAGAATGAGGGATACATGTAGCCATTTTTATATTAAAAAAAACAATAGTTGAATGGGCACCATATACGCATAGGATTATTCATTTTCTCTCACCCTCTTGTTATATTATGTTGGAAATTTTTTCATAATATTTTATTCTTGAAGGATAATATTGACCAAAAAAAGAATGCCACTAATGACTTTAGTTTTGTCTCTAACAAGGTTTAAATTTATGAGTGATGATTAATTTAGACAACATGCTTAAGAGATACAGGAACCTTAGACCACCCACAGTGTGGGTTGATTTTGTGGGAAAAAGGGGAAATGTGACCACAATGTGGGGGGGAATAGGGGATTAAATGGGTTTTGTGGGTTTAGTGGGTGGGAAAACCCACCAGATGAGACAAATGGTGGGGGGAAGTGGTGGATGCGAAAGGACAACCATTTTTCTGATTTTAGCAAAGGCTTATTTGGAAAGTTGTGTTTTTGTCTCCTCGTATTATTGTGATTTTGTCATTGATGATGTCATACTTAATTAGTGATGAAAAAAATATGTCTAAATTAAAAAAAAATATGTCGAAATGTTCGTATTAATTAATTATCACTAGTACGTAATAATAATGATCATTATATGAAAATAAAGTGACAAAATCAACTATAGATTGATTTTAACAAAAAAAATACTAAACTGATTACCCACTTTTCCCACCACCACATTGTGACCAAATCATCCAATTTTCCCACTTTCCCCTCTTTTCCCACATTTTCCCCCACCCACATTGTTGATGGTCTTAGACAGCATGTTTAAGAGAGATAAAGAGAGCTTTTAGTATTATATATAGGTGGCTAATTGCCTAATTGAGCACATTAGTATATAATTAATTTAGTAATTAGCCATTCCATTAGTCTAACAAACATTCCTAGTCTGCAACTAGAGTCTAGAGGAATATTTCTTTAGAAACTTTATTTTTATTTATTTATTTATGTGATTTAAGTACTACTGCTTTAGAATATAGTACATACTCACATGATTTCCAATTCATGAATTACTTCGATTAAACACATTAACACAAAGGTGAAACATGAAAGAAAGAGTTCTACGTGGAACGAAACCTGTAAAGTCAGCTTTCTCATCTCGAAATGAGTTTGGATATAAGTCTCATGTTCATACACGAGGGTCCTAATCTATACTAGTTTCGAGATCGTTTTACATTGAACATGGGTCTCGGAGGAGATAGCTCAGCTGACTTATAACAACCACTAATCCGGTCACTATTCTAAGTTAGTTAGTTTGCTCATCATATACATATACAATATTGATAGAGACAGACGATAATTCCTTATAAGCTACGCGTTACTATGCTTCTATCATTCTATAAATATACAAAGCTCATATTTTGTACTAGCTAGATTTCCCCCCCCCCCCCCCTGACAAGTTGCTTAACACTATGTTTGGGAAGGGGTGCAAATGGAAGGGGGTGCAAGTTTGGAGGGGTAAACACAAGTTTCAAGGTGTTTACCCCCGTTTGGTTATTTTGTAACAGTAGGGGGGTGCAAAACGTGAGCGTAAATTCACTGTTTCGGCTTACCCCCCAAATTGGGGTGCAAGGAAAGGAAGGAAGGGAGGGGGAAGGAGGAGGAGGGGAATTATGAATTTTTAATTAGATTATAATTACATAATAATTAATATATTAATTTTTTCTTATATCTATATTAGTGTAGAAGTTGTTTGGGGTTGACCGTTTGACTAAGAGAGCAAGTTTGTCAATGTTCGCCTCGTCAAATCGATATCTCTTAGTTGACCTGAATTTGCATTGAAAATTAGAGATAAGAAGCATTTGTTGAAAAGATAGAGAGGAACAGTTTAGTTAACTCGATTTACTTTAATAAGTAGTTAAAACTTACAGATTCGAACGTGTTTGACTAAGTTTGACCATATTCAATTTAAAGTTAGGCACGAGAACCCCCTTAGGATGACCAGTTACGAGTTGGATTTCGAGTTTCGAGGTTGCTCGACCAATGATTATTATTGTTGTTATAAATAATTATATTTGAGCATTATTATATAATAATTATTTTTATTAAAATTATTTTTATTTATTATTTTTATTATTATATATTGAATTTTCATGTTATTATTTTGTGATAATATTTTATAAATTGATAAATCTATTTTATAATAATATAATTACTTACTTTTTACTCTATTTGCACCCCCCTACTTTTTCATCCAAACAACAATTTACCCCTCCACTTACACCCTCCACCAAGTTGCACCCCCCAACAATTTACCCCTCAACTTGTACCCCCTCGAACTTGCACCCCCCTTGTTGCCAAACATAGTGTAAGTGTTGTTCTTTTACGTGGTAAATATTGTTTTTAAGGATAAAATGAAACAAAAGCATAAAAACATAAAGCTTATTCTAGGACATATATACTAGGTCCTTTCATCAATCCCATCAAATGCATGAAAATCCTAAAAGGCATCAATTTTAGTGAAAGTATTAATACATAATCTTTTCTACGTTGAATCCATTACCCAATAGAAACCAGTGCCAACTGAAGAAATATACAATCAAATAGATAAATAATTCTCCCACATTAAAACCATATTGGATTCATCTATTTGTAATGTAGTTTTGCCAACTTGCAAACTTTGGCAGCACCTTTATCTCTTCACGTGAACTGGTTCTCCTTCTACCTAGCCAGAAAAAAAAAAACAAATCTAAACTCATGAAGATTCGTCAATACAGATATGATAGATTGGTTGAGGCGCTAAATCTTGAATTCGAAGATTCTTATTTCGAAACTCATAGTCTGCAATCATTTTTTCTCTTCTTTTTCGTTATAATGTTGATCAACACTATTATTTCAAGGTATCAAATGCCTATGAGTAATATAGCTCAAACAAAGAAAAATGAAAAGAAAATACGAAAATTCAAACTTGACACATGATATCTACACTGATCGTAATTCGAGTAGAGTAAGAAAGCAAAAAAACATTTTGATCGTAACACAAAAAGACATACAACTAACCATAAAGCGAAGTTTATGCTCATAATAACAAAAATCAAACTTACTAACCACATAATTCATCCATAAGATGACCAACTACTACTTCACATCCAAAATCATAGGCCTTTTTTCTCTTCACTCTCCAAAATCTACTATATATAAACACATGCACTTCCTCCAAACCCACCCCACATTCCTTCATTCACCCCAAAAAAAAAAAAAACAATAATCCCCAAAAATGGAGTCTTCCTCCAAATCCTCAGTCCTTCTCCTAATCTTCATGCTCTTCCTCTCCTCCGCCACTCCCATCCTCTCCTCCTGCGGCCGCTGCGGCGGCCGGAAGCCCCACCCAAAGCCCAAATCTCCTTCCAAGGGCCCAGGCCCAATCAAGCTCCCCCCAATCCACCTCCCCAAACTCCCACCGGTCACCGTCCCCAAAGTCCCCATCCCCAACCTCCCCACCGTCCCTCCGGTGACCGGCGGCGGGTCGGGGAAGTCACCGTCGCCGGCTGCCAACTGCCCTCCGCCGCCGGCGAAGAAGGACACGTGCCCCATCGACACGCTGAAGCTGGGAGCCTGCGTGGATCTGCTGGGCGGGATCGTCCACATTGGGCTCGGGGGCCCAGTTGTGAACAAGTGCTGCCCGGTGCTCGCTGGGCTTGTCGAAGTTGAGGCCGCGGCCTGCCTGTGCACCACGTTGAAGATCAGGGCCTTGAACTTGAGCATCTTCGTCCCTTTGGCTCTTGAGCTGCTCATCACTTGTGGGAAATCGCCTCCACCTGGCTACACTTGCTCCATTTGAAGTTTGAAAAGGTAATGTATAGCCTTAGTGGCGTAGCCAGACTTACCGTTGATCGCGATTTTTATGTACTGCTAACACCAACGAAAAACGATCATACTAAAATCTATGTATCAAATGTATTTTTCGTCAAAATGGGATCTATATCTGAGGATCCCTGTCCTCAAGCTTTCCCTCCGCCACTGCCTTCCACAAAATTATTGTACAACAATTACCCAAAACTTTGCTCGTGTGATAGTTAGAAATGCGCGTACAAATCGTAACAGATCTGAAAGATAAAAATAATCAGCATAAAGCTAACCACGATTCAAATCCCTAAAAGTGCTACTTTAGTTTTCTAGATTCACACATTGGTATAAGATGGTAGTTAGTATCATATTGTAACACTAATTGGCATGATTGTAATGCAGGGCTTGCAAGCTATAGCAGGAAGTGATATGGATGGATGATTGAAGTAGTCGACATGAGAGGATGTCGGGCTTTCTTGTTTGTTCTCTCTACTCTTTCTCTCTCTAGGGTTTTTTTCTTTTTTGTATTGTTGGAATTATTGTTATGGTAAGGGGGTTTGGTTGTACTTTCAATGGATTGGCAATGTGGGAGTGAAGATGTTTGGAGTGTATTGGTGTAATACTATTTGTTGTCAATGAGCTTGTTTGTTTGCAATGGAGGTGTAGTGTGAGGTTTTGGTTTGACGTCTTAGTGAAAGAAATTTGGTCCAAGAGAAGAGTATCTATCATGTTAGATTCTCATAGTTCTAGTATAGGAGAGGATGGCCAATATCATAATAATCTCCATAGACTAGTTATGTGAGCATGCAAATTTTTGTGTGTTCTCAACATAAAGAGAGAAAAAGAACGACCAAAGTTTTTGAAATGATATCACTGAGTATCAAGAATAAAAAAAGTATAACGACATGATTAAGTCCGAAAAGATAATTGAGATCAGTGAGCATAATGAATGGAAGGAAAGAAAAAAGAGTCAAATATCCATATTGATATAAAATATAAGGTGTCAGTAAGAAATATGTCGATCTTTTACGATTGAGCACTTCATAAGTTGTAGCAATCATTAGAAATTCGATTATAATATTCTCTTAGGCCATTAAGAGTCGAATCTCAAATATCTCACTTAAGCGGTACGATGAAGAATGTGTATATATAGAGGTCCTTCCTTCGATCCTAAAGTACAAAAATTAAATCCATCACTTCTCAAATCATTGGTTTTAACTTTGGACACATCGTATATATTCATAAAAATACGCATCAATGATCGCGACACAACAAAATTAATCTGTCAAACTAAAACTAAACTAAGTACCATCATCAACGGCAGAAAGACGGTTAAACCTCCAATTCCAATTGAAAATACTTCTAGCAATGCATGGATACTACTGGCCAAAAATATTCGGGAGGACGCCTAGAAGCATGTCGACATATGCTATTAGTGCCAAATCCAAATCCACGTCCATTTGCGTGTTCTGAATGTTCATGGATGATATATCAATATTCGACTACTGCGCTTCTTTATGGTTATGAATGAAACGGTTTGTGATTGTACGATGTGTGAGAATACAAATTTATCCATAGTTTGACCACAAAACATAACTTCATATCTCTTTCAAACATGTAGATCATTAGCAATTTACCCAAGACCCAACAACTTACTAGGTTTGCCCTAAGTAAAGCATATGAGAAGAACCCCTCATAAACTCCCTAAGGCTAGGATCAACCAATACAATCATCATCTCTCGAGATGGAAATACAAAGTCTTCCAAATTTCTCTAAAAGATACAACTCCCCCATAACCTATATGATCAACCCATATTATAGTTTTAACAAAATTCCACTCTCCCGTCCATTTCTCAAATCGACTAATCACCAAAGTACGTGCACTCTCTCTACTATATATAAAACTTCCCTTCCAACGCCCGTGGCACCCTACAAAGATATAAGTTCTTCCCATTTACACCCTCAACATACTTTTTTCCTACAAAAATGGCCCTAAATTTCAGAGCCACCGCCACCTTTCTTCTGGTTACAACAACTCTCATGCTCTCCTTCTCCTCCTCCTCCTCCTCCTCCACCTCCTCGAGCGAAGCAATAGAAAACCTCATTGGGTATTCTTCCATCAGAGTCAGAGGCGCCAATACGAAGTTTACCATCAACATAAAGTCAACCAACTACAATTTCAATGGTTGTTGTCATCACAAGATCCCAGCTGCTGACCCGGCGGCGGCAGGACGAAAGTTGAATAAGCACGGAGGCAACGGGACCGCCACCGGAGGGACGACGACGACGATGAGGTGTCCGATGGAGAGGGTGATGAAGGTGGGAGCGGGGTGCGTTGATGGGCTGGTGACGATGGTCCACGATAGTAATGGGCCTCTTGGAGTGGGCCGGGCTGGAGTTGTTGGCGGCCCAGTGGCGGTTGACTCTGTTGTGGTCAAACAGTGCTGCTCTGTTTTAGGAGGAGATGGGATGGTCGACTTTAATACGACGGCGGATTGCTTGTGCGCTACGCTTAAGGTCAAGGCTTTGGATTTGAAGGCTTACGTGCCTCTTGCTCGCCACCTTCTTGCCTCTTGTGCCAATATGACGACTAATACTACACCACCACCCCAATTCACTTGCTCTCCCGTCTCTTGAAGATCAATTACGAAAGATATGCGTACAAAAAAAACTCCCATGGATTCGAGTATGTACGTATGGTATACGTATATAATACGATGTTATTATCACGAATAATACATCTATACCACAGTTACATGTGTGTGACGTGATCATGTTTCTTCGGTCCACGAGGATAAGAAACTCATTATAGTTGAATAAATTCTGGGTCTGTCAAAGTATATGAAAATGGTCGAGTTCAAAATCAACTGTACTACATGTATTTGTGGTTGGTTGATAATAATATATTACTTTATTATGCATATTATCAAATTATTTTGTCATTGATGGTTATTATTTGTTTTTTACTTTTTACTCAAACAAATACCCTAGGTAGAAGCAATTAGTTAGTCATAAGAGCTTATAGATATGAATTGCATGTGCATATAGACAACCTTCTACGTTGCAACTGACCTAAAAACGTGTATAATCTTTTAACCGTGCAGTTACGGTCTATCCGCAAAATCGTACATGTATTATCAAACCCTAACATTCAAGGCTTTTTCATACATCTCTAGTACCGACTATGTACATATAACTTCATATCTTTTTTTTGGACATAATTAATAGATTGGCAAGAGATGGAAAATCCAACGACTTACTAGGTCTGCCCTAATGAAGTCATGGTAGCAAAATCCCTCCCGAGAGAGCACAACATGGAAAATTAGAAACCAACTAACAAGCAACAATACAACAGATGAAATATGTGCACAGTTCAGACATGCTCGAGAGTCGAGACACAACGCGCGACGAAGTAAAGAGTAGAGAGCAATCAATGAATGCCCCCAAAAATGGACCTCAATAGACATTGAAATAACAATATGAGATGTGAAAGAAAAACTGTTTGTATAGTTCATTTTCCTTCTGTCTCTCACTCTCACATTCATCCTCCTGCTGCCTTCCTCCTCGCAATCTCAACAAGAAGAGCACATAACATTACAAATCCTCGAATGGTGAGGGCCTTACCTTCTCCCTGATTATATCCATCCCCAAACGCTACTCAGGCCAGCACCAATCAATTCAAACCCTCCAACCAAACTATCACCCCCACTGCTAAATCTGGGAATAAAACCGATAACTTATTCTCTCTGAAGTCAACTATATATATGTTACAAAATCCTACCCAGGAATTTGCTGATCTACCTTGCTAAACTATCCACGGACGAAGGGAACCTGGAGACAAGAATGCTGAGTGAAAAACCCTCCCGGCTGGACTCAAACCGATACAAACCCGATGAAGCCAAACCGCTCAACATCAAGATTTATTCAATACTACACTGCTTGAAACGAACCTTACCCGGCTACATTGCTTTAACCTGGTAATGGCCGATTCAGACTTCCCGAGCAATAGGTCCAAGTACACTGCTGTCAACGTCGCTTCTGGATTCCCTGGGAAAAGGGTCAGTGCTTGCGTCACGAAATTGTAGGCTCGCTCGAGCTCTCCTTGCATTGCGTACATGGCGGCAAAATTGGCATACAGAGTCCCACGTGCCTCGTCTGGCTTCAGGAATGCGATGCTTTGTGATTCCTCTGCAGAATTAGAAGAAGACTTGTTCTGTGCTGCTGCTGATGATACTCCATTTGACTCCTCCGAATCCAAACTTTTCTCCACTTGCAGCTGCTCAAAATCCTCTTGCTTGAAGGGCAACTCGACATTGTTTTCTCCAGAGAGATAGATCGACAAATGCTCAGCTGCTTCTTTTGGCTTGTTCAGTAAGCAGAGTGACTCTGCAGCATACAAGTGTCCAAGAAAGACGAAAATTCTTGAACATTCTGGTAGTTCCAAGAGAGACATTGCACTCAACAAAGCCTTGGTGGGGTTTTCAAGTTCCAGTTCAACATAGGCCAGGTTTGCAAGAAGAGCTTGCTTAATCATCTGGTTTTCTCTACGATGGACAACTTCGTAGTGAGATATCGAGTTCTGCATTACTTCCTGGCTTGTTGCTCCTCCTTTTTGCTCTTTCGCGTCTCCATTTGCATTAATGTGACCCATGTTGCCTGTCGAGGCTGTGGCATCAATACCTGTCAAGTTCTTGTGATTCGGGTTCTTCAGAGTGTCTCCCAATTCATTTTCCTCCAAGGAGAAAGATGACGGTAACCCGTACTTCAGATGGTTTAGTTCGGAGAAGTCTAACAAATGCAAAGCATTGAATAGGCACTGCCGAGCAAAAGAAATTGAAAGCTTAGGTTGACCATCGCCCAGAGACAGACCCTCTTTTTCAGCAAATCCATTTCTTGATATCCCATCTTCCACAGCAAGATGCCTCCATTTTCCCTTACCAACAACATGCACCATGATTTCTGTTTTGCCAGAAGAGGCACCACTGCTAGCTCTACTCACTCCCTTCTCTAAAGCCATAATACAGCATTCAGCAAGGCGGAGCCACAGCAGAGGCCTGTTGTAGAATATTAAGCTCGCCTTCTGAAAACAACGAGCAGCCAGCAAAGGTTTCCCACATGCCAAGTGCTGCACCCCACAATTGTATAATATGGGGAGAGACTTATCCTGTGACAAAGTTAACAGCTTTAGAGGCTTGTCCTTCCGAAGAGATGAACAACTGCTCAGTGCTTTTGAGAAGAGGACTGATGAGGTGTGGTATTTCCCAAGTTGATAATAAATGCAACCTAAGTTATTGAACATGTTGGAAATCCCCATTTCTGTTCGGTTACTTGATGCCATCAAAAGCTTCATAGCCTTTCGATGGTTGCCACGGGCATATGCAAGCTGAGACTTCAGGAGTAAGGCTGTTGATGAGTCTCTTCCTCGCGCAATGTTCATAGCTAGCTTAACTTCACGCTGAGCTTGTTTCAAGTTCCTAGTCAGAAGGAGAACCTGAACCTTGTAGAGTTGCAACTTAAGCTTCAAATCGATTGTAGACATAGCCCTGTCCCCTGAGGTCCATGAAAGATCAGTAGATGATGAAAAGCCTGGTGGCTTTCCCAAGCCCTGCGCACTTATGTCTAGCGAAAACACAGATTCGTACTCAAGTGACTCCTCTGATAATGATAACGACCTTGATAACGAACTTTCTAAGGCACTCCCGCTAGCCCCTAAATCAGAATTAGACGTATCGACTGCTGATGAACTGGTTGGAATAGAAGAAGATTTTGCAACTAGATTCGTTGATTGCTGCTGTTGTGCATTACCATTATCACCATGACTAACAGTATTGACACCGAAAGCTTTTTCTAGATAGAGTAGCACATCCTGAAAAATATTAGAAAGAACAAAATATTTATTTATACATGTTTCTACTGGACAATATAATTGAACGTGAACACTCAAAAGACAAATGAAACTGGGACGAAATTCAAGATTCGTCGAGAGGAACATGCAAACAATGCCCTAAAAACAACAACTTTTGTTCTGAATAGAACCACTCAATAAGAGGTAATACCACAATGTAACAGTACATGATGCTAAAACTGATGACATAATATCAATTCGTAGTACTGACTACAATTTTATTCTAGCACAACTGTAATAGAAAGAACAACTATAAGCAATGGCTAATGAAACCTTTCCAACTCAACAAAGACCCAAATGCAGAACAAAAAAATACTTCATGTACTCTACAAGATGTTCAATAAGGCTAGCATAAGCCACAAATATAAAGAAAGCATCCTCAAAGGCATTAAAGTTCTTCAACAACTAAAAAGGTTCTTAATTGAGTTGCAAATAAAACAGCCATTTAACAGCTTACATAAGCTGTTTTCTGACTGAAAGATACTAGTGATAGAGGGCATGCAGCATGGAAACTGAAGGCTCATATCCAGATACAATTGAACTTACAGCAGATTTGGATGCATCTTGACAAGCAAGTGCGACATCCAGCAATAACAAGCAAACATGAAGAGCTGTTGTCTGCACATAAAGATCAGGGATCAGGACTATAAGTTTAACCCAAACGAACAATTCCAAATAAACAATAAAGTACCTCGTCTATTGGCTCGATATTGTGATACAGAGTCTCTAAAACTGATAGGGCTTTCGTATACTCATGAAGATGATACCAAATAATAGCCTGCAATTCCCAAAATCAAAAGGGAAATGTCATTTCCTATCGCTGTAAACCAGTAACAAAAAATCAAATGGGAGACATCACAGAACCCACAATGTTTAGCGTTGCCACAGCTGGGTCAAATTGATCCATGTAAACAAGTGTCCCACTATTTCCTGCAGACAACTGATGTGTCATCGTACCACTTCCTTTAGAACCAGGTGCGACTTTGTTCCCACTATTGCTACCAACTTCCACAGCTTCTCTGGAAGCATTTGCAAGATCCTCGCTTTTCTTCTGACCTCAGATAACCACCATGAAACATAAATATATATCAACTAACATCCTATCAAATAAACTCATTACAAGAAACCACAAAATATTGGTAGCAGCCAATCAATCTAGGAAACTGTCAACTCTGAGTAGTACACTAAGTGACATGTCAGGCTAGGACAAGGATAAAATGTGGGGCCATATCAGAGTCATCAATGGTCAAACGCCCACTAGTAAGAATTATATAAGATACATAAGTCTCACAGCTTCACAGGATAAAAGTCTCAGTTTAAGGATGTGATCAAATATAAGCATGCATGATAAGCAGCCTGATAAATTAGACACCTTGTGGGAGTTGGTATGACCTTAAGCTACAAAGGAAGAGAAAAGAAAAAGAAGCCATACCTTCACAGAATTGAGTACATCAAGCAACTTCTTTGGATTCGAACAACCATCTCGAAAATATTCTGCTATAGCAATATTATGAAGTACCTAGGAGAGATATAAAGGATTCAAAAAATCAAACTTTTATTAAAGGAGATGAACACTTCAACAATGGCCATGGCCACAAACCCACCCATCCAATTCAAACTGACGCCCAATGCACCTAATTCAAACTAATCAACATGCTATCATAAAGTTCATTAACACTATCTATTATACCCCTGGATGGACCTCGCTGACCCTGATGAAAGTGTATTAAAGACAATAAAAGCAACCAGGTGCCGGATCTAAATGATTCTCTTCTCCTAAGAACAACTTGCATACTAACATCGACCCGGGGAAGACGGCTAAACAAATTTGGCATACATAAGATATCATATTCATGTAAGCACTTGTCAACCCGTGTAAAAACCATACTCCACTTTCACATGCACATTCCATAGTTCAACTTCTCCCTAGACAGAAACCACCAAACTACTGCAGCATCTTATCGCTAATCCCAGCTCAAACTATTCAAAAACCAAAGAGAAGACCAACAAGTCCAAGTCGAAACAAGCAACCACTAATCAGTAGTCCCCGGGTCCAAATGTAGAAGCAACAGCTAACTGAGCTCCAGGGTCGAACGACTAAGCCAGAAAAGTAACATGAAAAGCACAAGCAGACAGGGAGGTCAGAGGAATCACTTTAGGATCGCCTTCTTTCTTCTGCTTGAGCTGATGCAGAACCTCGAGGCAGTCGGAGAAGCGGCGGGACTGGAAGTGCAATGCGGCATCCTTGGCGAGAGCAGCAGTCAAGGAGAGGATAGCGTCGTCCTCCCCGTTGGCGGACGTGGAACCGCTGGTCGCCGGTGCGGCGACGGAGGACGAGGAGGATTGAGATGCCGAATCTCGCGAGTCCATGGAGCAGATCCAACTACGTGGCCGCTGAATTTAAGCAATCTGAAGGCGCGGAGTAATGTATTCGAAAGCTCGAGCAACTGTGAAGAAAACCCTAAGTCCCCCTCACGGAAATCTGGGAAGAAACGGAGCGAGAAGCTGGAATTTCATTCGAGTGGAGAGAAAGGGATTAGGGGAGAAATGGAAGGTTCCTCGGGCTCCGGAGATTTTTCTTTTCCAGAGGAGAAGGACCAGTTGCGTCTGCGCGCGACTGAATCGCCGAGAGAGAAGAAAGGAGTTGGAAATAGGAGGAAGGAGAAGGAAGAAGAAGACGGATAGAATTAGAAAGAGAAGAAACGAGTTTCGGGGTGGAGTTTCTTCTTACAATTTTTCTTTTCGACATTTTTTTTTTATTCACAATCATTTGTTCTTTCGGTTTCCTTTTTCTGAACTGGGCTTCTAAGCCCAATTTAGGTTGGGCTTCGACATGACCAAATTGTTGGGCTTCGACATGACCAAATTGTTGGGCTTCGACATGACCAGCAAACTTTACTGCCTTGTAGTCCAAGATTAAGCGTATAAGCATACCTTTTTACTCAATAAAAGGTTTTATATTACTCAATAAAACGTGAATAAAACGTGATTTTGACTACATTTTCTACGATATCACAACCCACAACGAGTTCCAGCTGGGCAAGAGATTGACTCACTAACACCCTCCAATCTGACTTACCACTTCCACTTGTCGTAGAATAACTTCTGGAAACAAAATTACCATTCTCCAAACTTCCACGACCATAAATAAGATTTTAAGTACCTTACAAATAGAAAAAGAGCACGAGTTCTAAAAACAGTCCAAACTTCTAACAATAATTGAAATTATTCTCCAAGGGGAAAAAAACAAGGGGTAATGTCTCCCTGCGCGCTGCTACCTGATTTCAAGTTTCCCTCGACAGGAAAACACAGTAGGGCTGTTGCTCAAAATCCAAATCACAAAACTTCGTTCTCACTTGAGGGACAGAAAGACTGATAGGGCTCGACTCGTTTCGTCTAAGGGTGACCTCCGCGATTCAGACTGACCATACGGGTAGAACCATCCATCTGAGAGCCCCTGACAGCCGAACTAGCCGTCCTTCGCGCACCACCATATGCCGACGAATCCTGATAACGAGAGCCGCCGCCTCGTACCTGGCTCCCCCTGTTATACCCGCCTCTACCACCACCTTGTCCAGATCTCCCACCACCACCATACCCTCCTGAACGCCCACCGCCACCACCTTGCCTTCCTCCCTGCTGATTATAGTTATCCTGCCACTTACCCCCACCACCACCACCAGCATTGGCATAGTCCTGCCCTTCTCTCCTCCGCATCGGGAGATCCATCCCGCCGCCACCACCAGACTCCATCGCCCTCTCGTTGCTCTCCGCGAGCACTGAGAGCTTCTCGGTCAACTGGAACGCCAAACCCTGCAGCCTGGAGTACTCAACATCGTTAAACACGACACACTCAGTTGGCTGGTCCCAGCTTGCGTACAGCTCCTCGTTGATCATCATCTTGCTCACCACGCTGTGGGTCTGGGCCCTCGACAAGTCGAACATGTTCATCAGCTGTTCCAAGCTCATGGAGTTGTAGGACAAGGAGTAGGTCAACAGATAGGTTCTAAGAGCTTCCTCCTTGATTTTGGATTTTAGCATTTCAAGGACGCCCTCTTTGTTCTTGAGAAGGCGCCAGATGTCAAGGGACTGGATGACCTCGAAGGATTTGGTGAAGTCTCCCTTGGTGAGGGCTCGAGTTGCGGCCATCACGTGGTCCCTGACGTTCTCAGGAGGGCCGGTGAAAGTCTGCCTCTCGCTAATATCGAGAAGACGCCTGAATGTCTTGCTGATGAGTCGGCGCCTGGAGTCATGGGTGTTGGCTGCCATGTTCGGGACCTCGAGGAGCATGGCGCAGATGAGGTGCACAGCTTCTAGAAGCTCGAGATTGATGTGCATGTGGTATGGCATCTGGCGTCGTCTTTCCAACCTCTCCTGTTAGTATATCAATTATTCACAGCAATATGCATCAGTTGAGGACATGCATGAAAATAATAAGACAGCAGAAAAAGAACATGTAAATGACGATTTTCCACAGTTGACCTTTCCATAAAGAGTACGACACTGCTATATACTGTTCACTAACCATCAAACTGGACCAAAAAAAAAAACTGAAGAGAATTGAAGCTTACCTAGTACATGAAAGAATGTGAGAACTCAGTTACGAATTTATGATTTAATGTGCCACAGTATGATGGTTAATCCAACTATTCAGCTTATTGACATATCCAACCTGGATATCCTCTAAAACTACATTACTAAACTACCATTTCTATGAGCAGACAAGTACCAGAAATAAGGTCATGGAGTTTCAGTTTTTATGGGCAATTGAACAAAGCCTACCTATTTCCAGGTAATAAAGGCATCTAGGTTCAAATCCAGAAAGTGCTAGGCGATTTTCATCCTCCATAACTACTTATGTTATGGAGGGCTCAAGAAAGCTGCTCCCTTTAATTCCAACAAACAAAAAAAGCAATAGTTACCAACATACATCAAACTCGGATTATCTCAATAGACAAGGCGGTTCTCAATCAATTACTTATGTTATTAGCTTACACGGTTCCATGTAAACATCAGGCTTCAGCAACAAACATCGAGCAAGATGAAACAGTAAGAGAATAAGCAAGACTTTCATAGGGACAAGTAAAACACAATGTAAAGTTACCTGTTCTGGGGTCTTCTCATGATATCGGCTTTGGGATACACCTTGAGCAAGCAACTCTTTCACCCTTCCACCAGAATATAGTTCCGAGAGGCAACCATGTCCTTCAGTGATCAGCCCAACTCTAAATGCACATAAACCAAGCTGTGCCATGGCCCTATTGAAAAGGATCTGAGTAGAAATGTCCAGATGCTGAATGTTATCCTGCAAGTGACTCATCAACAACAGGTCACGAGCAATGGAGAACTCATCAAGTAGAGCATGGTGATATATATCACAAAGCATTGCTCGGGCTTTTGTCCTGTCATCTCCATGTTTGTATATGAGAGACACCAACATGTCCATCATTGTTCTGCTGCTCTCGGGAAAAGTGGGTTTCCGAGCCACAACCTCAGGAACAACAACAAATGCAGGTGGGCCTCTACTCTCTTCCGCCTTTTCGTCACCATTGTCTCCACCTTCAGTTTGTTCAGACAGCTTCCTCATAGCATCATAAACTTCCTGTGGTTTGTAGTACACAAGCTCAACCCGCCTCAAAGCAACCTTTGCTGCTGCTTTATAATCCCCACCTCGCTCAAGATACTCCTGGACATTTTGAGCAAGAACCAAAAACATAGGCTCATCCTGCAGCCTATCAACATACTCACGAGTATGAGGGTCAGTGGACTGCAAGCTCTTGAAAAACTCGACATCAATTCTTTCAAGGAAGGCCACCAAATTTCCCCAAACACGAACAGGACCCTCATGGTCTGCTCCCTTCTGTGTTTCATTCTCTTCCGGCTCAACCATATCATCGACAACAATGTTCCTATGCTGGAAAACTATATCGAGGATAACCAACATGTTCACCACACATTTTTTCCACACATTGATAGGCATGTGACCGTTAAGCCCTGGATTCACATCAAACTGAGCAGACACAACACTGAAGAGAATCTCAAGTTTCTGGGCAGGTGTCTTGGCAACCTTGGTCAAGAAAGTTAACTGCTCAACCTGCTCAAACCTTCCAGTGCCCTTCCTACCACGAGCTGCAACAACTTCTTTAAATTTCTTGTTCACCACATCCCAAGAAATTTCACTAGGGTCCTTCATGAATTGCTTATCCATGAGCTTCTCCTTCTTGCTCATCATCTTCTCCCAGCCGCCTTCGCCCTCAGCTTGGTCGTCGTCCTTCCCATCATCTTCCTCTTCATCCTCATCGGACATCGCATTGACATCCTCAGCAAATGTGTCGGACTCGTCGTCATCAGCATCTTCGTCGTCATCATCATCAGCCTCCTCCTCACTCTCAGGCTTCTCCCTATACTTATTAATGAGCTCCTCATACTGCTTATTGTTCTTCTTAAGCTTCTGCTTCATAGAGTTCAATGCCTTCGCATTACTGGTACTCATCTTCTTCTTGGCCTCCTTATTCGCCATGGCCTGATTCAAGAAATCCTCCAGCATCACCAGGGACTTAATGTAGAGGTTCGGGACCTTCACCGCTTCCGTCACCCGCATGACTTTCTCCAGCTGCTTGTTAATCTTGTCGAAGCTCTCCAGCAAGCTCACCCAGTCGTTAATCTTCATCGCGTTCTTGATCTGCTCGAGAGTAGACGTCATCTCGTCGAATCGTTTGTCCTTGGCCGACTTAACCACACGCTTCTGGCCATCATCATCGTCGCTGTCGGTATCGGTTGCCCTGAGATACCGATTCTTCGCGTCGGCGGCCGATGGATCTCCGCCGGCGTCTTCGATTTCGTCTTCGTACTCGCTCTGCTCCTCTTCCTCATCGGAATCAGAAGCACCGGCCTACGCAACAACAACAACCACCGCACGAATCAGATTGAGAACGGAAGGGGAACAAAAATTTCAGAGAGAGAAAATATCTGTTAGAGTGACGAACCTGAGTCCAGAACTTGGAAGCCATGTTCGTCGATCAATTGAAGCAGCAAGAACCAATGGCACAATCGGCGGCGGCAGCGAAGTGAGAAAATTTTCTCAAAGAAATGGACCAGATCGAGTTATCGCCGCACAACAGAAGAGATGTAACCTAAACTCAGGTTTTAGGGTTTTGAAATCGTACGGTTCAGTTTTTTTTTATTTGCCCGCTTTTCTTATCCTTTTTTCCTACCAAAAAGGTAAAAAAAAATATATATATATATACATACATATACCTTATCCATGGATCACTAATTCGTAGAATGACTTGGGCCTTCAAAAAGGGGCCCATTTTGTCACTTCTGGTTCGGTTGTGTGGGCCAAAAGCCCTCCCGACTAGCAAGTAGCAAGTAGCAACTGGCTTGGAAGTACCTGCAGTTTTTGAGTTCCACAACGGAGAACGGCAATTATCTCCAGGCGCGGAGCCGTTCCTCCTCCGGCTGCCGACGGCGGACAAACCATTGAACTATTGGCAGCCAGAAACAGCCCAGATGCCCATCGGAAGTATTTCTTCCCCCTTTTTTCTGAGATAAACAGCTGAAGCATGCTTGGACAGTGGTGAAATCTCCCCTCGAAAGAACTCGTCATTGCCAGCGAGCTCACTCAGCCTGGTAAATCCTCAACTTCCCATTTTCCTTTTGATGTTGGTTAAGTATAAGCTCTGAATATTCTCAAGGATTATGCGTCCCTTTTTAATAAACAGGGGGGGAAAGAAAACATGGCAATTTCCTTCACATGGTTGTCAAGCTATCGCCTTTCCTGCAATTCACCTATGAACATATCCAGTTGATTCGTGAAGTAGAGGGGAGATGCTAATTGGTGCTTGATTTTTCTCTGATTGGTTCCTATCAAGCATCCAACTTTTCTACACGAACTCAAGGAAATGAGCTTATGGCGAAAGGCGAACAATCTTCGCTCTATTGGAGGAATCGAGGGAGAGCGCCCGTCTTTTTCCAAACTCACCCGCTTGCTTCAACTGTGCAGCAACTCCAAATCTCTGAATCAAGGCCAACAAATTCATCAGCATGTCATTGCATTGGGGTCTAGTGGTAACCCGTTCGTGGTGACTAAGCTGATCCAAATGTACGCGGATTGTGATGATCTGTGTTCTTCAAGGAAGCTGTTTGATTTATTTCCAAACCCAAATGTATTTGCTTGGACAGCGATTCTCGGGTTCTTCTCAAGGCATGGTATGTACGAGGACTGCTTGGTGAATTATCGGTTGATGAAGTCTCAAGGAGTCTCTGCGGATCACTTAGTGTTCCCAAAAGTTCTGAAAGCTTGTGCTCAGTTGGCGTGGTTGGATGGAGGGATGTGGGCCCATGGAGGTGTGGTTGTTTCTGGCTACGAGCGGAACTTTCATGTGTGCAATGCTTTGATCGACATGTATGCAAAGTGTGGAAATGTGTTGAGTGGGAGGTTGGTTTTTGCAGAGATGGGAGAAAGAGATTTGTTTACTTGGAATTCAATGATTTCTGGGTACATTAGTAATGGGTTGCTAGATTCAGCTGTGCAGCTTTTTTGTGGTTTGAAGTTGGAGGGTGTTAAGCCTGACGTCATTACATTTAACATGTTGATGGATGCTTATTTCCGAATGGGGCTTTGTGATGAAGCTTCAAAAGTTTTTGAACAGATTGAAACCCCCGATATCATTTCATGGACCACTCTAATATCTGGTTATTCTCGAGCTGGCAAGTATGCCACATGTTTGGTAATTTTCAAGGACATGGCGAATGAAGGGGGGATGTTTCCTGATGTAGATTCCCTTTCACTTGTCCTTGTTTCGTGTCGCCATCTGTGTGCTTTAATGTGTGGGAAGGCAATCCATGGTTATGGTATCAAAACTCAACAACCTGGGGGGAGATTTTACAGATCAGCTGGTCCAGCTTTAATGACAATGTATGCTAAATGTGACTCAGTTCATCATGCTAGAACTGTGTTTGCACTAATGGACAAATCAGACGTTGTTGCCTGGAACGCTATGATTTTGGCCTTTGTAGAATCTGAGTCAAGGGATTTAGCACTCGAATGCTTTGGTGAGATGCAGAGATCAGATATCCAGAATGATCAGACAACCATATCTACTGTTTTACCAGTTTGTGATTTGAAACATGGAAAGCAGATTCATGCCTATGCCATGAAACACATTTTCGATCATTGTGTTGCAGTTTGGAATTCAGTCATACACATGTATTCCACGTGTGGGAAAGTTGACACCGCATACTCAGTGTTTACAACATCGAAAATCCGAGATTTAGTAACATGGAACGCAATGATCAGAGGATTTGGCATGCATGGGCTTGCACAAGCTGCTTTGAATCTTCTTCAGGACATGAAGCGGGTGGGAGTTCGTGCTGATGCTCTCACATTTACTTCGGTTCTATCAGCCTGTCATCATTCAGGCCTTGTAGAAGAGGGCATTAAACTCTTCGAGAGCATGACCGGAGAATATGGATTTGTCCCCACAATGGAACATTACTCATGTATTGTCAACATGCTAGCACGTGTAGGTAGGCTAGAAGCTGCCATCAATTTCATTCATCAAATGCCCCTGGAGCCTGATAAGTCTGTTTGGGGGGCCTTACTGGCAGCCTGCCTTGACCAGCAAAATGTAGAAGTTGGAAAGCTTGCTGCTGAGAAGTTAATCCACCTGGAACCCGAACGTGCAGGACATTATGTGGCTTTGTCTAATATATACGCAGAAGCTGGTAGATGGGATGATGCTGTAAAGGCAAGAAAGGAAATGGAACGCAGAGGGTCGGTTAAGCCCTCGGGGCAGAGTTGGATAACTTTCGGGAACTGAAGTTAACTTCAGTGATTGGTTATCCGTGACAGCTTGACCACAATTCATGGAGGAAATTCTGTTTCTGCTGCAGCTTTTCCATGAAATGAAAACGCAATGAAGTGTATTAAGCTGTTATCCAAGAATATCCTGCCACATCAGGTAATGAGGTGAGCATTGACGAAAATGATTTAGGGTAATAATTCATACATATAGTACCTGGACTGGCATATGAAATAGTGGCATGAGTTATAGAGGTAGCTAAAGACTGCACAACCTAATCAAACAAAATTATCAGGCATGTCCTTGTTTAGTAGTAATGCAGAAAAATTTAACACTTAAACTTGTGAAATGAATCAAAATGCTAAAGCCAACAGCCACCTTTGAATCTTCTGCCCTCCCTTGACCAATTATAATTTCGCAGGTTCTTGAAATATTGACGGCTGTTATAATATACTTCATTTAAGGGCTTTCGGACAAGCTCCCTTCCGATCAGCACAAGACTGTTGCTGCTATGGGTTCATTGAAAGACTTGGAACAAGCGAAGGATGGTAGAAAACTGCTTGCAGAACAAGATGTATCCCGTGCACACTAGAATGGTGCAGTTCGTATGTTTATGCTGGGATTCCTCAGTGTGTATCTGTCTGCTTATGCCTGGGTTCATTTCTTAAGATAAGATGATTACACTTGAAGCCTGCTTTCTTCTTGTTATTGAACAGTGTTCTCTCTTATCTGCGATGTAGGTTCATGTGATGAAGGAACACCTCAAAAGAAAATCCAGCACTGAAGGAGAACAGGGACATATTTCTTTCTGAAGTATGCTGCCTGTGTCCTACAAGGTAATCATAAAACGTAACTCCATGATATGACAAGTTAACATCCTATTCTGGGTGATATTGTTCAGAATAAGATTTCGTCCCTGGAACGGTTCCTATATACACTGGCTGATGACCCTTCCTAATTTTGCAGCAGTAGGAGACAGATCGCTGCAAAAGAGAGATTAGTGGTAGAATGATAATGTAGAGGAAGGTATAGCAGTATCATAAAGAGAACAATTGAAGAAAACGCAACAGCAAGCTAGGGGAATCTGGCCTCTCTGAACTGCTGATTTCGTCGAATTTTTATGACCAAATTCGCCTGCAACATTGGATCCCATGCTCAAGCCATGTCACAAAACAGCAATTCCCAAATACTTGTTGATCCAGTCTTCCACTTGATGTTGCAAACACGAAACTCAAGCTAGAATACAGAACAGCAATTCTCAAATACTTGTTGATTTTGCTCCTTTTGGGTCCTTGAGAAATTTATGTTGACAGATTATGTTAATGTACACAAGCACGTAACAGAAGCCATAATTAGGTACCATGTCCAAGCAAATCCATCAACTTCCTTCTTCAATTCCATCCCAATGGTACAATAATAGTAAATCGAAATGAGAAACAGTTAGCCTAACCGATCATGAGCTAATGACTATGAATTTCCTACTAAAATACCTAGAAGAAAATGCCAAAAGAAAGCAAATAAATACCACCCTACCCCAATACCAAGGTCTGTGAAAATTTGATGCGACAACCATAGAGAAGTATCCTAGTCCTAGAACTCCATTTTCAAGGCAGGATTCGAAAGATCCGACACCACCAAGCTGTCTAATCCTGCGAAATCTTCCGGCAACCCATGCTGCAACCAATCCTTAGTACACACAAGCGCCTCCAAAGTCTCTGACCTTGCATGCGGGCTCAGCTCCCTTGGCCTGGTACTGTACACCAATTCGGGCGAGGCAGTTGACACAGGTATGCTCAAGATATCCCTCGCCATCTTCGACAGCGTCGGGTACTTCGACCTTTTCTGTTTCCACCATTCCAGCAGGTCGAAATTGGAGCTCCGCCCCTCGAGGTTCTCGTCCAGATACTGGTCCATCTCCGACTTCAACTGATGGCTTGTCGTCTCCATGATGTACATATCAAAATCTGCCAGCCCGTATTCAGAAAGATTGCCTCCCTGGTTTTGCTCGTCCGCTCGATCAACATTCCCATGATCGACACTGTAAGCTGGCGATGGTGGTAGAGGAAGCGTTAGGTATTCGTCGAAGAGCTCGTGGAGCCCATCATCCACCATCTTAACGTAGAGAGGAGACTCCTCTCCGAAGAGTTTGGAGAAGCTGAATTCCACGAGCTTCATTTTGAAGCGTGGATCCATGACTACAGAAATCGCGAGAACTAACCCACATTCCTTCCAGTACTTCTCTATCTTGTCCTGCATCGGTTTGATGAAGCTGCAGACGAACGGGTCGCCACTGGTTGCTGCACAAGCAATCTTAGCGTGGATGCTAAACGCCTCCTGGAACAGTGTGATTGCAGGAGGGCAAGGGGAAGAGACGAGCAAGTTCATTGCATCGGAGAGAGACTTCAAGTACGTGCAGATGCTTTCAACCTGCTTCCAATCTTCCATGTTCGGAGCTAGTTTGTATTCAGGAATAACATTGTCCAAGCAAGAGAAGACTTCTTTTAGATCTGAAGCAGACACTAGCATTTGATAAGTCGTGTTCCACTGACTCTGGTCGTCAAGGAACAAACGTACCTCGCCGGGGACCTGAAGCTGCCGCTTGAGATCAACGAAAATGTCCACGTGGTTCTGCGAAGTGGTGACGTACTTCATGTTGTCACGGATCTTCTTAATGATGTCACGTCCCGCAGACAGCATGTCATTGACCATGGCGGTGAAAGTCTGTGAGATGCATTGCCCGAGCAATAGCTGACCGTTGAGTATGAGTGGATTCTTGACGCATAGATGAGACCGGAGATTCTCCAGCCCTGCTTCAGGCACTGGATGGTTCAATGTGAGGGAAAAGAGCCTGCTTTCTAACCTCCAGTCGGAGAGACAACAAGCAACGGCATGGCTGAGGGCATTATGCGAATCAGGATATGGTTCGAGGACAACATTGAGAATCAACTTTTGGGTCTTCCAATTGCTGTCGGTGAAGTGGCCCGTTATGAACACGTAACCCACGCTGTTTCTCGACATGTACATGTCAAGAGAAAGGCAGACTCGCCCTGGCATCGCATCAATCAACCTCGTCACCTTTTGCTTCTCACTCAAGTAAGATGCGACGCATTCTCCATGGATGGTCTTGAAGCTGACTGCACCAAACTGTGGCTGAAGACTCTGGACGAAACTTTGAAACCCAGGATGCTCGACCATGTCAAGAGGGTAATCGTGCATGATGATCATTCGAGCAATGTCATGGCGGCAGATATCAGGATTGAACACCGCCGTGTAGGCAGGAGATCTGTAGCGGCGCTTTCTCGACTCGCTGACCCCTGTACTTGCACCAGACGCACTATTGGCTTTGGTCCGACGAGTCCTGGTTGAAGGAGTAAAAGGAGTAGTCTGATCACCATCGCCTTCGTTATTGTTATCGAGCCCTGTTGTGGCTCCACAGGTTCCCTTCTCAAGATGGCGCTTGAGGTGGCTAGTACCGGCTACTTTCGTGCTGCCATTCTCTTGTACCGTGCTGTAAGCGAAGCTCCTCCTGCAGGTGTTGCAGAACGCCCTTTTGCACTCCGAGCTGACGCTCTCGACTGTGAAGTAATTCCAGACACGGGACTTTGTCTTCCTTCGCCTTGCTGGCTTAACATTATTCTCCACGGGTGTCAGCTCATACTTCTCTTCAGGGATTTCCATCTTTTCTCCAAAGCCACTTTCACTGGCCAATCAATCAAGCAACACCAAAAAACCAGAAAAACATTAGCACGTATTTAAAACACCAGAACAATAATATTGAACACCTGATAAACAACCAAGGAAAAGAGATTCCGATGCATCCATGGAAGGAACAGTATGGTACTACTTACTACTTAGGCCTGTCTAAGAGTGGAGAGCAAACAGAGAGAAAGCTATAGACTTTCGCTATAAAACTCGACAATAGATGGGCCTTTGGAATGTTATGTCTATGAGACTACTATGTCGTATCAGGTAGGCCCATAATTGACGAGTTTTAGCAATCGAGTCGTCGACCCAGCTCAGTGAATAGCACTACAACACCATATAAACGTAGTAGAAGGCAATAGCGGCAACTTCACACACCGCCCTCCTGCCTCCCGACGCCGAAAACCAGAAACAAATCCCCGAAAGTCGAGTCGCCGGGGAAGCAAAGAGGCGGACGACGAGTACCAAAGAAAAACCCACAAAAACATCGGAATCCCCAAACAATTTTGAATAGCCGAATAGAACAACCAAGAAGGAAGCCAATAAGACTGCCCGGAGAACGCCATGAACTCCCGCCCGTAGAGCTTTCCCACAACGAATACGAACAACTTAAAAGCGCGAAGAAACAACCACAGCACAACACTCAATTGAAGATACAGCAAACACATAGAAAAGGGAAGCGCGAGAAGCTAGGGGGGAGCAAATAAGAGAACAAAATTAGGGTTTAGGGATTTTTACCTGCGGCGAGAGAGAGAGAGAGAGAGAGAGAGAGAGAGAGGACTTGACGAGGAGTCACGGCAGGCGATGTCCGATCAGATAAGAGGGGGCGAAGCTCGGCGGCCGAGCTCCGGCGAACTATGGCGGGGTTGGATCTAGGGTTTTTGTCGCAGAGGCCCGCGAGGCGTAGAGCGAGAGAGGGACGAGACCGACGGTGTAGAGAGAGAGAGAGAGGGATTTTGGGCTTGGGGCGAGCGGCTTATTGGACCAGGGATAATAAAAGGGGCGAGTTCGGGTTTTTTTTTCTTTTGGGTAAAAAATCTTTTTGATTTTTGGACTTTGGAGCGGTCCAACTAATCACTCTCTATTTATGTATAAACGGAGCGGAGAAGTATCCTCTCCGATATTGATACTGTAACCGGCCCAGCGAAGCCCAAGCGACGATGTAACGGTGCCGTTTAGTTTGTGGACCGGTCAGGGTTGTTTGGTTTGGTTTGGTTTGGTTTGGTTTGTTGTAGCTGCAAACATGCATATCATGTCATCTCGTACTTGGAAATACAAAATTAATACAGGTCTTACTCGATCTAGTATTAGCGAGGAAAGTTTTTCCTTACATGAGGTCTCACGGGAATTAGCTAGACATCGCAATCCTACCTCCTTGAGATTGATTCTACTTATGAGTAATTTTGCCTGTGCCTTCAAGTTGGAGATCGAAGCTAATTGCAACACATCAAAAGCAAGACCGACAACAACAGATAGAATCCAAAAGAGATTGAGGTTTACCTTAATCATCTCATCTAAGATCATTGATATTTGCTTCTTAAGACATCTTACTCTTCAGGATCCTTCGGGATATCTCTTGGAAGCAACGTAGTAAAAATCGCAGTTTAAAATTCAAAAACCTATGCTTTTATACTTTTAGTTCACCAAAAATGCTTCTTGTAAAATCTTACTTTTTAAATCTACGCTTTAAAGCTTAAACTATTACGTTTTTACAAATCCACATAGAGATTGCAATTTTGAATGTATTGATTGGAAGATTATGAATGCATAAAGAAGTGGTAAATGTTACGTGTGCCCACCGACACACCGACATGACGGTTACATGTTCGGGGCTGTGTGGCGATGCCAACAGGTGACGATTCAGCTAAGTATTCCTATCTATTCAATATCCTTCATTGTTATTAGTAATATTTATTTGTTTTCTTTTGATAATTATCCTCCTACATTTATTAGTTATATTTGTATTATTATTTATTTGTTCTTTTTTTCAATTTTAATTTCTCTATGTATTGCATCGTTTTTCACCTATTATTGCAACCATTTTTTTAGTCATATCTCAAGTTTAGGTTTGTTCATAAAAAAAAGTTTAGGTTTGTAACCTTTTATTAAAAAAAAAAGTTTAGGTTTGTAATCGATGCCGATTATCTAGAGTTTCTCGATGGCCTAGTTCGCTATTTCAAGGGAGAAAAGGTGCCTTGTGTCCATGTTATCCTGTTGGCTCATTGGTCAGGATTGTCGTCCTTGTAGGAGCCTTTTTGTTTGCTCATTTTGCAGGTGAAGTTTCAATTGCAAAATAATCATTTGGTGGAGACTCTGTCCTGTCCACTAGATGGCCTTTTGATGAGATTTAATGGAGCACTACTGCGAAATAGGGGAGGCAACATTGGCATTGTGGTGTTGTTGATGTTGTGCCGGTTTTTGGAATGTTACCATGGAGGTTATTCTTTTGAGTCGTGCTTCTCGAGCGGATCAAGCTGACGCCATACTTTTTCTCTAAAGTTTGTATCCTTTCGATGGTTTGAGTGTTTCTATCACCTTTTTCTTAGGAACTAACCGAGCTGCCCATTTCGTAGCAAAAAAAGACTCTTTCATCGACAGTTCAATTAGTATTGACTATCGCTTTTATTTTTCAATGTTTGTAATCAACTATCTATTACTATTTTTTCATATTCCCCCCTCTACAAATTATCCAATGAGTGAGCAAACGAATGAGCCTAACCGATCTTGAACTAATAACAATGAATCTCCTACTGGAATCAACTAGAGCAAAACTGTCAAAACTCTAAACAAATAAAACACCCTCTAGATAGGACCTGTAAACTCCAATTTCAAGCAGTAGACACAGGAATGCTCAAGATATCCAGCGCCATCTTCGACAGCGTCGGGTACCTCACCCTCACACAGTCCCGATTCCACCATCCCACCACGTCGAAATCGGAGCTCCGATCCTCGAGCCACTCGTCCAGATACCGGTCCAACTCCGACTTGAACCGCTGCTGGCTCGTCGTCGTCGTCGTATCCATGATGAACACATCAAAATCCGCCAGCCCGTGGTGCTCCGAAACATTCCCTCCCTGACTGCAGCCGTAATTAGATGTGGATGGAGGTGGTGGAGAAATCGAAAGGTACTCAGCAAAGAGCTCATGAACCCCATCATCGACCATCTTCACGTAGACAGAAGAGGACTCGTCTCCAAAGATTTTGGGGAAGCTGAACTCCACGAGCTTCATTTTGTAGCGAGGATCCATGACTACAGCAATCGCGAGAGCCACACCACATTGCTTCCAGTACTCCTCCATCTTCCCCTGCATCGGGTCGATGAAGCTGCGGACGAACTGATCGCCGCTGTCTGCAAATTGAGCAATCTGCAAGCGGACACACATGGCATTCAGTAACAATGTGGCAGCAGGGCAAGGGGGGGAGGAGGCGAGCGAGTTCGTTGCGTCGACGAGGGACTTCAAGTGGTTGCAGATGATTTCAACTCGATTCCAATCTTCCATGGTTGGAGCATCGGCTTCTCTGTATTCAGGAATGAGAGTGTCCAAGCAGGAGAAGACTTCTTTCGTATCCCAAGCGGATTGCAGCATCTCATACGTCGTGCTCCACTGGCTCGGTTTCTCAAAGAGCAAACCTGCATCCCCGGGGACCTGGAGCTGGACTTTGAGATCGAAGAACATATCCACGCGCCACTCAGAAGCCATGATGAAGGTTATGTTGTCGCGGATCTTCTGAATGATGTCGCGTCCTGCAGAGAGCACGTCGTTCGCCATGGAGGTGAAAGGATGGGGGATGCATTGCCCGAGGAATGGGTGGACGTTGAGGATGTGTGGGTTCTTGATGCAGAGATGAGACAGGCGATTCACGAGACTGTTGATTTCCATCTTTTGTTTTTTTTTTCTTTTGCAGCAGAAACTGATTCACTGGCCAATCAATCAAACAACACCAAGAAATTAACCAGTTAGAAACTTTGGCACATGATGGACCAGCAAAAGAGAGATGGAGCAAGCTTTGCAGCATCAATGGGAGGAATACTGGAATAGCATGCTACTACTTTGGTCAGTCTAAGAGTGGGGCTTTGGAATGTTATGTCTAGCATGTGTCAAGAAAATTTTTAAGAACAGAGCTTATACCACATACTAATACGCATCTTCACATTCAAATCGGGTTTGAATTTTGCACAATCCGAATATAAAATCGCAGGTTACAAAAGGCTTCACTATTAATCACAAGAACTGAGTAATCCGAACAACTCGAATCGTTCAGAGAAGTTCAAATATGTAGACTCATCACGGTGAATGTAAAATGCAACACCACATTAACTTAGCCCGCCGGAAACAAAAAGCAAAAACAAATAGGGGAAAGATGAGTCGCCGGTGAAGCAAAACGGCGGGAGACAGAGGGCAAAAGGCGCTAGCCCCTAAAAATCGCAACCCCGAAACCTATCTGACAAGCCAGAAAACCACAACCATGAAGGAAGCCAACCAGGGTTCCCCAGGAACGCATCGCGGAAAACATCATTCAGTTCTCCCGCCAGAGAAATTTCGCGGGAAAAATTCGACGGAAAATTCAACGAATACGAACAATATACAGCGCAAAGAAACTATATAGAAAATCAGGAGAACAGAATTACGGTGAGCGATTGGGATTTTACCTGCGGCGAGAGAGACGGGAGACACAGCAAGCGATGTCCGATCAGGTAAGATGGGGCGAAGCCCGGAGGCAGAGCTCCGGCGATCTCCGCCGGGGGTGGATCTAGGGTTTGTATTGCAGAAGCCCGCGAGGCGTACTGCGAGAGACCGGAAGGATTTTGGGCTTGGGGCGAGTGGCTTATTGGACCAGGAAACTGTTTGGACTTTGGAGCGATCCAACTTATCTCTGGACTTATATATAATAACCCAAAGGCGTATCGGCCCGTTTCAGTTACGGAGCACAAATCCTTTTCCTCTTATAATTGGGATCAATTAGGTTGGTAAAAAAGCAGAAAGGAAAGGAAGGAAGGAAGGAAGCAGAAGCAGAAGCGCAGCAGACAGAACCATCGCCCATCGTCTAATTCCTGCATCCAATCAATCATCTTCTGTTGTGCGAAAGCCCCCATCAGCAGGTCAAATCCTTCTTCTTCCTTCAACTCACAATCCCCAGAATTTCAAATTCTAAAGCTCGAGCATTTTTCCCCTCGGTCTCTTCAGATCAATAACCCTTCTCTTCGCTCTTCGCTTCCTTTTCTCTTACAACAGCTGCAAGCCCTTTCAATTATCAATCTTGCCTCCAAATTCTCCAGTTTTACAGGGTACCCTTCTCTTCTTCCTCGCATATATACTTTAGTTTCTTCAGATGTAATGTGGCTGTTCATTTACGGTTTCTCTCCGTTCAACTCCTCCACCGCTGGTCCAATTGATCTTACTAAAGCTTGCAGCGCTGCAATGTGATTTTTCGTTTCATTATTTTGTACTGTTTCTATAGGGATCAATGCCCAATTGTCATGATCTCGGCCTTATGTGTTCTCTCTCGGTAATTGCTAAGATTGTGCTTATAGTTCCAAGAATTGGGTTCCTTTTCGTTAACGCATTTGCTAATGTATGGGGAGGCTATAGATTTGCTTTGCTAGGATGAAGCTCAGTTGAAAAGTTTGCATCTTGTTATATGCTTCTTTATGCTTACATATATGTTCTACTCTTTTCAGCTCTACAATCTGAGATATTGATATGCATAGCATCGCGAAGAAAGTAGCAGACCAGGCATCTAAGAAACCTACTCTCTCCAAGTCAGAATTTGGATCCTTGTTAATTGCATCATTAAAGTCAAGACGTGGTAGCAGGGTGGCCCTCAGTAAGAAACAAATATCAAAGAAAGTTACTCGTCCTCCAAGTAAGGTGACCAGGAAAGGTGTTAGGTCTAGAAAGTTGGTTCGGGGTAAAAGTGCACGCAAACCACATTATAAAAGGTCCGGGAAGAAGTCAGAACCGTCTACTGCTATCTGTCCTGAGTTGAATGACAAGAATCCTAAGAAGGAGACTGCCAAGAGAAAATTCAAAAGGAGAAGGATAGATGGAAGGCTAAGGAATAATGTAGAGCTAGATGAACCATCACGGTTGCAGAGGAGAACAAGATACTTGATGATTAAAATGAAGATGGAGCAGAACCTTATAGATGCTTACTCTGGTGAAGGATGGAAAGGCCAAAGGTAAGATATTTTCTCTCACATTCCTGTTGATTTTGAGAAACTATAACTAATAACTAAAAGATCAAAGTGTTTCTATGAGATATTAATCTGCTTTAGTGAATTTTTCTGAATATGTATATAAAATGGGTTTTGAAAAATTCGTATCTTATTAAGCTTCTTAAGTTTGTGAAGAAGCTACTTTTCTCAGATGAAGTTCTTTAATAGATCAACACTAACCAGACCAACTTAGGTTTGATTCAGATGCCATTGACACTGTAATCTTTGTTACACCAACTTAGGGTATTAATTGGAAATGATTAAAGGAAAGAAACAACAGACATTTCCTAAGGCACTTCCTCTTTTTATATGAGCTTCACCAATGTATCTGCCTTAAATATTTCGAGTTGAGTTCTGACTCCCTGAAACATACCTGAGAGAATCAAAGTTGGGTATGCTTGTTTTTGGAATATGCAACTGAAAGAAGGGCCTGCTGAAGGGAAACTTATGTGCGCTTAACTCTTACACTAGAAATTCTGCTGCAGTCGAGAGAAGATCAGGCCAGAGAAGGAACTACTAAGAGCAAAAAAACAGATTTTGAAGTGCAAACTTGGAATACGGGATGCAATCCACCAACTTGATTTGCTTAGTGCAGTTGGATGTATTGAAGACTCAGTTATGGCCCCAGATGGATCAGTATCCCATGAACATGTAAGCATGCATAATCAGTATCACAAATGGTATATTTCTGTTCATGGCCAGGAGTATCATAAGTTTTGTGCACTCATGTTTTCTTTTACTTATCATGCTCAGATCTTCTGTGCAAAGTGCAAATCAAATGACGTGGTCCCGGATAACGACATTATACTCTGTGATGGGACATGCAATTGTGCCTTCCATCAAATGTGCCTTGAACCTCCACTTCACACCGAAAACAGTAATCTATCCATTGTCGTATACTGTGATTTGAATTTGGATAAAAAGAAAAGGAGTGAGCTTCTTCCTAATGCTTTTGCTCTATCGAGTTCTTGCAGTACCCCCTGGAGACCAAGGATGGTTCTGCAAGTTCTGCGAATGTAGAATGGAAATCATGGACTCAATGAATGCACACCTTGGAACCCAATACTCAACGAGTTGCGAATGGCAGGTTGTTTGAGTGGACAGAAGGACCATAAAATATCTTTCTTTGGGTATTTTCTAACTAAAATATGGGGGTCTTTTTTTTTTGCTGAAGTAGGATCTTTTCGAGGAAGAGGCAGCAGCTCCTGATGGTGGGAACATTTTAATTCTTGAAGAGGAATGGCCCTCGGATGACACTGAGGATGAAAATTATGATCCAGAAAGGAGGGAAAATAGCATGAATGGTGCAGGAACGGATAATGATGAGTCGGATATTGCTAGCAGCTCCACTAGCTTGGGTTGGTCTTCAGATGATGAAGCTGTTTCTGGATCCAGAAGATGGGATGTGGAGGGAAAAGAATTCAGAAACCAGTCAATATATAGTAGCTTAGATTCTGATGAATCTAGTGATGTTGAAATCATGAGCGGCCGCAGAAAGCGCAGAGCAGTTGATTATCGGAAATTGTATGACGTGAGTATTATAAATCTTAAAGATTCGGGTAGATCCTTTTGCCTTAGATATAATAGCGGGATATCCACAAAGTCCAGAAGGCTTGAAACTTTCTACTTGCTAACATATTCATTTGGACTTCTGCTTGCATTAGGAAATGTTTGGAAAAGATGCTCCTGTAGCTGACCAACTCAGTGAAGATGAAGACTGGGGTCCTAGCAAGAGGAAAAAGAAGGAAAAGGAGTCAGATGCTGCAAGCACGCTTATGACTCTCTACAAACGTAAAAAACAAGCAAAAAAGGATGAGACTTTGGAAGGAAAAAAGGACCTTCCTAAAGAATCTCGAGTTCGAAGGGCACTATCGAGAATTCCACCTAGTGCAGTTGAGGTACCAACATTCCGTCCCTTGTTGCCTTTTTCCCCGGTTCTGATTCTTAGTTTTGCTGAAATGTCATGTCAACATTTTGCACTCTGGCAGAAATTAAGGCGGGTTTTTGAGGAAAATGAACTTCCCTGTGGAACAGTTAAACATAAGCTTTCAGAAGAGCTAGGTCTTGAACCTGGAAAGGTATGAACAAACCAATGCATTGAAGTTATGTATGGGATTGGCATTGATGGTGATACCCAACTGAGTGGACTAAATAGTTCTTACTGTTATTTACTCCTTCCCCCCTACTGATTTTCACCGCTTGGAGTTGCAATTCCAGGTCAGCAAATGGTTCAAGAACGCAAGGTACCTGGCATTGAGATCCAGAAAGGTGAGTTGGTGCTTGATTTTGCCAACAGATTTCCTATGGTGTACCTTCTGTTCTCAAAACCTTGGAGCTTACTGGTGATTCTTTTATGTCAAATGGACAAAACACCAACAGTGCAGTGATTTCAACCCTAAGCTGTCTGGTGAAGCAACAGAAAACGAAAATAAGAGTGGAGGCGCTGAAGTTTCAGATGCCGTAACTGAAGTCGGGCTACAGACAAAAAGGACTTCAAAAGATGTATTCGCAAAGAAGAAGCTAAGATCTAATTGCGGGCTGAAGGAAAATGATCCAAAAGACGTTTCCCTTGAATCACAGGCAGGAAATAGTGAGGTATTGCTGAAAAAGCATTTCAGCAAGTGTGATCTAGGACATCATAATTCAAGAATCCACTGGAATCAAGCTGTCAGCTATATAACCCTTGTTTTGTCTCTCGTGTAACGATTGAAAGAACATTCATTTTCCCTGTTTCACACAGATGGAAGCCCAAAAGGGTGATGATCCGAGCTTGAAGACTCTGCTAGAAGAAAAATCAAGTGCAGGGAAGAAGCATTCCTACTCAAAATATTCGGAGTCCCCGTCTCATCAACTTGCCGAGAGTGAGATGGATAGACTTTGTAGAGCCAAAGACACCCTAGAGAACATGAGGCAGTTTCTGGGGAGTCTACCAATAAGCAAACGTAGGAGGTCCAAGGCGCTTGTTCTTCGAGAGAGGGTGGTGTATGTGCCTACTGCTGAGCTAAAGGAGAAGATTACGACAGTTGGATAAACCTCAGTTAAGCCTTTCAGAGAGCACCTTTTTCTCTATATGCATCTAGGCATCGAAGGTTTTAATTGAGAAATTGACAAAGTTTAGCAAATTATCAGCGAGTATAGCAGTTTGAGATGGCTACTAACCACTTGTACATTTTATTTACCTAGCATTCCATCTTTTAGGATATTTTTTAACTCATCAAATATTAAATACATTGTCAAGCCTTTTTCTAAAGCTGTGTAACTCTTATGTTCTATATATAACGAAGTGCAAGTTATTGCAATAAACAGATAATTTACACTCAAACTTTCACTTTTGGGGAAGTTGCTATACAAGTGATAGCCATAATACATTCCTTTCAGTCACTCGAGACTCAAAAGACTAGCAAAGAAACAGAAATATCAGAAGCTGTTGATGTCCATCTTGTCCAACACCCGGACTGCCAGTTCCTTTTGTTTGTAACTGATCTAAATGCATGGAAAATTAGCTGCAGTTCATCTGTTGAAGCACACCTATGAAAGCCTAAATTACGGCAGAAACTTCTTCATATCAGTTCAAAAGAGATAAGAGAAGCACATCTGCAGAGTCTGGCAGTCTGCCAGTAGAGCAAATGACTGTATAAGGAATACGTCCAACAAGATATGATCACACAATCAGAGTATGATGGCTTCCTTGAGCTAGAGATTGGATTACACAAGGAATGTGCCTACGAGTAGTTACTTCAAATCTGGCTATCTTACAGGAGGCATCCACTCAGGCTATCCTAAATTAGTTCCAACTGCAATTTTTCTTTGACTTCAGCGCTTTGATCAGCATTGTTATGACCGTCATCACATGTATGTACATGAAACTAATCAATTATATATCATTTACCTAAGTATGCATACTACAATACATGAACTACCTGCACCACTTCCCACATACGTTCCTTTCCTTGGCACCATCTCCAGCACGAGAGATATGACTTGTCTGCTTGGAAGCCAATTAGAACGAGTGCGCAAGTTCAGGATCCTTGCTATGCTTCAGATCCCATATAAATGGATGTCCTGTATGAGTTGTATAATGCTTACTTTGAGTATCCTGCTAACAGGAAATACTTAACAGCTAGAGACCAGACTACAGTCCTCCAGTGAAGTAGTGAAGATAAATGAATTCCTTGTGGAAACTCAACAAATTCGTGGTGATCTCTGCAGCTAACATTCATTACATATATATGGAACTATGAATTCTCTTGGCAAGACTTTGGTTAAACAGATGATACTGGAGTTATGTTGTCTAATCTGGAAAACTAGAACTGGTCTAAAGGTAAAAGCAACCATGGTAAAGGAAACCGTACCGGAAGTCATACCGGCTCCGCCAGTGGTAGGGTATTTTGTGGTACTACCGTGGTTCAACCGTTGTGTACCGGCAAAATATCGTTTTGTAATTAAATAATATTTTTTTGTTAAAAAACCGTACCGGCAGATTTGTGATACCGTTTCGGAATAATACCGGAATATACCGGATAACAAACCTGAATAAACTAAATAAGCATATGTAATATAAAATTCAACAAACTGCAACATTACTGAATTAACTACATAATCGTTCAAATGCTGTTGACTGCAACATTACTGAATTAACTACATATTCAGAGCGTAGAGAGAGCGTCATTATTATATTATAATTAATTTTTTATTTTAATATAACTATAAAATATTATGCAATATAATAATTAAAATACACGAATATAATGTAATGACTAAGAGATTTGATGACTGATTTATAATCTAATTTTTAAGTAACATATTAGTAATTACATTTAAGATAAATATATATTTAGCATTAAATAAATTCCTAAACCTAAATCACCATTCCCCACCACACGTGAACCCCCATTTTCCCTTTTGTTTCTTCCGGGCCGCTACTCTCTCTCTCTCTCTCATCAATAACCAGAAGAAATCGTTCCCCCCTCTCTGGGCTTGGGGGAGCTTGTAGCTGCATGTGATTGATCGAAGCTTTAGCCTTCCCGGTACCCATATCCAAAGTCGAGCTTTATCCTCTTCTTCTCTATTGTGATTGTGAATTGGAAATTCTTTCAATCCAATTCCAAACCCACTTGTGAATCCCCCTTCACTTTCTTCGTTTTATCTGCTTCCCAAATCGATGGTCCTGGTTTCGCTTTCGATCACCCCGAAGAAATTGCTCAACAGGAAATCATCATCAACAACAACTGGTAGCTTCACAGATCCCGTCGACCTCCTTTGCGTCTCCGCCGATCTCCCCTGTTTCCACCAGCCAGTTGAAGTCTCCGACCTATAGCTTCTCGATCGCCGCTCAACTCTTCCCAGCAGCTTACCCCCGGTTAGACCAAAATCGGGCGGTTTTTTGAATTAAACCGGTTTTACCGGAAAAACCTCCCGGAACGGCTCCTTTACTACAAAACGGCTACCGTACCGGCCAGGCGCCGGTTTCCGGTTTTACCGGTTCAACCGGCCGGTACTATCCGGTTTCCTTTACTATGAAAGCAACATAGAAAGAAAAAGGTACAGTAGAAATTGATTTTCATTCCATCAGGACGTGCATAAGAAACATGGAAACCGCAAGAAACTTATATCCCTTGAAGCAATCGACCAACAAATTTAATGCATTCTAAACCATCATATCTGGTAATCTATTTATCTTAGCTTCATTCCAGTTAAAAAGGTGAAAAAAGAAGAAAAAAATGGTTCCCTTGTGTTATAAACGCGCTGCTACGGATCGGGAAATCGCAGGAATCGACAAAGCAAGAATACGAAAGCGTGAATCGAAAACACGACACACGATTTACGTGGTTCACTAACACGATGTGTGTTAGCTACGTCCACGGGCGAGAGAGAGTCAGTTTCACTGTATCGAGGAGATTACAGATTACAGAGGAGTATGAGAAGTATTTATAGTACTTCTCCATGTGGGTCTAAACCTAATCCAATCTGGCAAAGGAAACGGTTACAGACCAGGCCCATAACCCGAACCCAAATAACATTGAGCCCATCCCGATTACCAGTCGTAGCGGCTGATAGTCCGATTCAAGTCACATCAACACCTTGCATACATAGGACAGGCATTATGGCCTCACTTTCCCTTGTGATTGAAAAATCAGACATGATACATTCTACAAAACTGCACCGACCAGTCTGGAACTTCAGCTTGAAACCTTTTACCAACATGAACACGGCTAGCATATGGCTCATCATCACTCAGCATCATGTCAACAGGACCCGATCCACTTGCAGACACAGATCTCAAAGATCCACTCACTCCATGGATAGTATAAGCACATTCACTCGCTTCCTTCCACACCTTTGGTTTCTTCTGCTTCAAACAGGAATAACAAAACCACTCATCGACAGGGACTACGCTTATTTTAGGACTGATGCAAGACAAGTGAAATGCCGCCTCACAATCATCACAAAGCAGCATCCTTTTTGTGGAATCTGAACGAGAACAAACCCTGCACCGCCTACAAGCCATGCCACCAATTCGCATTCCGGACGTAGGAGCCCCTACAAGAATCGAAATGCAATATCCCTCTCAGATGCAGAGGAAGAAGAGCACTCAGCTGTATCATCTTCCATTTCTTTACCCATCCACACCGAATTGAACTCCACATTCGATCTTGATGGTGACGAAGAGCAACTATCATTCACACTGTGACTCAGTGAAGAAGGGGAAGGGTGCTTACCCCTTTTCACTTTTCTTCTATTGTAGACAAGCATAGGGGATGGGTGGGAAAGCTTCCTTCTTTTGTAGACAAGTTTAGGGGCTGTAATGTTAGATACATCGGTGATGGTTGATCGTTTTAAGAGCTTCCTTCTTTTGTAGCAAAGCACAGGCGCGGTAATCTCAGATACATCAGTGCTGGTTGATGGCTGTGAAAGCTTCCTTCTTTTGTTGACATGCATAGGCGCTGTAACCTCAGCCACATTGGTGCTGGTTAATGGTTGTGAAGGCTTCCTTCTCTTATACACATGCATAGGCGTTGTAATCTCAGAGGCAATAGCAATGGTTGATGGTTGAGAACGCTTCCTTTTCTCGTAGACAAGCATAGGGGAATCTCAGATACATTGGTGATGATCGATGGTCTCTGTTGTTGGGTTAGATCCTCTTCGTTCGATTGTACTGCTGTGGAGCTTGTTTGTGGAAATTACCATGTCGATTTAGGGCAAAACCAATTCACAGAAGCCGCAGGCAATCCCATTCACGAATAATCAAAGACGGGCTGGGAAAAGTACGAGCGGAGTTGAAGCAGGAGGGGGTTTTAACCCACTCGGCAAGCCGACCAGTTCATGCAATTCCGGGAATTGGGTTTTGAACAGCGGGTAAGAAAGATTCGTCCTTTTGTTTTATGGAGAGAAATTAGATGAGTTGAAACCTTACCTGCCTGAGTTTTGATTGGTTGAAGTTTAAGCAGCAAAGTAAGCAGAAGCTGCACTTACTTTACTGTCCAGCCGGCGCCGGCAGTCATGACTGGCGGGCTACTGCGGCCGCGATGGAGCTTTGATCTCGTGGCCCTTAAATCTTTTCTTTTGTTCTCCCAAAATTGATTTGGGGAAAATAAAACCTAAGCAAGGTTGTCAAACCGGTTTATACAGTTGTGCCGGTTTGGCAAGTGGAATAGTATAACCAGTGGTATAACCAGTTTGTGCCGGTTCATGCCGGTTTAAAAAAATGTGAAAACAATTAATATCCAATGTATCTAATCATATATAAAACATATTTGTGGACAATTTAGTTACAATCCAACAAATATCATCAACTTTTAACTATTACATTCATAAAATGAATAATAAATTAATTTTTTTATTCATTAAATTCATTAAAATGATGTCATTTTACTTAGAATGGTTAAGTCGATCATACCGGTCATACCGGTGGTGTCATGCCGGTTTCATGACCGACACAGGTTGAACCAGGTTCAACCGGGTGGCATGCAACCGGCATGACAACCATGCTAATAAGTGAATCGTGGTGACACGCGGGAATTGGGAATTTTGGAGCACGAAATTGGATACTCTTGGCGCGAATACCAACAGTAATTTAGCTGACTGAAGTTGCTAATGTTAAATCGTTGCATTATAATGAATCACTATAATGTAAATGCATGTATTGATACAATGAATGCATTATAACAATACATTGTTTGATTGTTGAGATTCTACTTTATGCATTGATTTACATAAAGTTACTTTATGGGAAAATGTAATATTTACCCTCAACTTTTAGTATAAGACAAAAACTATTGGGATATAAATGAAAAGAAAAAGTTTGACACAAATCTAAAAGCAACAATCACAACTTTTAGTTGAGATTGTATAATGCATCATTTTTTGTGATTATTGGTGGGACCTACCTAAAACAATGCATGCATGGTTTTACATTTTGGCACTTCCAAACATTGTATTGTGCACAATACATGTATTCAACAAACACAATTCTTACAATCACAACTTCCAAACGACCCTTTAATGAATTAACTAGTGAAGTAAATCACTGAAATTTAGATCCTAACAAAAAAAAATTTTTGTTATGAAACGCTCTCTCCTCTCTCTTTGGTTTCTATTTCTTGGCTAGCCGGAGTCTTCTCGCGGGCCGCGGCGGTGCTCGTGTTGTTTGACGTTAGCGTGCAGAATCAAGGTGTTAGTGGACTCAGATGGAATGGTGTAAGTGTTCACAATGAAGGATCAGATATTGATATGGGGATGCGAGTGCCATGGTCGATCTCTCCCAACAATGGAATATGGGATCGTGTTCATAGCTCCCAAAAGAAAAGAAAACGAAGATCAAGATGTTGGATCACTAGGAAAAAAAGGAAGCTCGTATGCTTCTAGGAAACTCAATTGCTAGCCTCCTGTCAAAATAAACGATCAAAGGTATCGAAAATTGAGGTGTGGCGTTCTAAGCTACCCTCCTTGACAAGCCTGGAAGGAGAAGAGGATGAAACATACCACTCTCCTCTTGTCGGGGACGTTCTCCCCAACGGCAGCGACGGTAATAGCCTTGTGACGTCAACCCTAGAAACGTGTGGGTCTGGCTGAAGTTTTTGAACTTCCGACATCGGCCGGTGTTGGTCCATTGTCAATCCTCTCGTGACGACCGGAGAAACGATCGTCGAGGCATACCGGCAGGAGAAGTGTGGATCCGGTTGTTCGGAGAATCCTGACACTTAATCTTGGGCCCGGATTCGGTGCGATTCTCTCCCCTCCAATCGTTTTTAAGAAAAAGACTTTTATTCAAAGTCAGAATCTTAATCCCTTACGTACCTCTCGTAACCGAACCCCAACCTCTGATCTCCTATTTGGGTGGCAGCTCGACTCTTGGGCTTATTTAATCTCATCCCCTCAACAACATACTCTTGTAACCAGAAAAACAAAGAGTGTGTTTGTCGACGACAGAGAGCAGCCTCGTCCACATGCAGTAGTTGTCCAATTTTAGTTTGTAGTTGTCTTTCCACATAGGGTCACCCCGACCTAATAATAATGACCTCCTTTTGTTTAAAGCATTGCCGTTGTATTTACCTAATTCCATAAGTCATGAAGAGAGACAAACATTTGACTCTCAGCACTCTGATGAAGGGCTTCATTAGAGTTCTAACGACTTAAGTAATTGTTTTCAAGTGACTGCAATGGCTCGTGTACAAGAAGACCAGATTATTCAATTATCTTTGGATGAGGTCCAACCTGCGAGTTTTCAAAGCTCTTGTGCTTTAGTGGGAAGGCTGTTTATGGACATCAAAGCTCTTGTGCTTAAGGACTCGTTGAATGTCCCTTGGCAGGGGAAAGGAAGGATTAGAGTGATGGTGGTGAAGCACGGTTTACTTGAATTCGTGTTGCCAAGTGAGGCATCCAAGAATTGGGTGCTGAAAAGAACACCCTGGATGATAAAAGATAAAATCCTCCACCTCCGTGCATGGACATCTAACATCACGAAGCGAACATTTAATGAACTCGTCATGACTCCCTTTCGTGTCCAAATGTGGGGCATGAAGGAAGATTGATGTACAAAGCAGTTTGGAAGAAAGATGGCGAACAACACAATTGGCCATGTCCTAGAAGCAAGTGTGTTTGCCTGCACGGACACTGACCAATGCTTCGTCAAGGTCAGGGCCCTGATTGATTTTTCCAAGCCGTTGAGATCGCAACTAATGGCCGCTAGTGATGAAACAGGTTGTTTTTGGCTTAACCTAAAGTATGAATACTTGCCCACCTTTTGCTTCCATTGTGGACGAGTCGGCCATATGATGAATGTTTGCTCGTTTGACTCTCCCACGCGGAAGGAAAATTTTGGCCCGCACATGTCCACCAAGAAGTTGGGGACAAGAATTTATGATGATGAGGATGAAATCCCTTCATATCGCGGAGGATCAAAATCGGTGTGGGTTAACAAGGACATCAAAGAGCACAAGGATGCTAAAGATAGACCTGGGTAGGTGCTCGAGAAAGAGGAGGTCAGGTTGGCCAATCCCGATGAGTCAAGTCAGGTGCGTCATCATATGAAGCAACTGGAGGTTCCTGTGCATTCCATGCGAACTATAGAGGAGATGCCGAGTCGGGGCAAAAGCCCTTGTGACTTCCCCCTGAAGAAATTGCCCAAGATTCACGTAGGCCGGGTTCTCCGCAGATCAATGCCATAGAAGGAATATTGGAGGACCTCTCGTATTGGACGAGTACAGGGTTCCCATCTTGCGAGGAAAAAAGCTTGTGCAGTCTCATGAAAGGGACGAGCATATGTTGTTTCGGTTGGCTAGGGATACTTCGAATGGGGTGTCCCACCATGCAGGGAAGAGGCTTGTGCGGCTTCATGAAAGAGACGAACAGGTGTCGTCTCGGACTGCTAGGGACAAGTCGGATGTTGTGCAATTAGGGAAGGGGATGGAAGAGTTGGAGGTGAAACCAGTTTACTCTCACCTCCCTCGTGACATGGCCCGACGTAGGAGATTAATTCTTGAAGATGATCTCCCGCCTTTGAAGCCTCCCATGACAGCCATGCAACGTCAGGAATCGATTTGTCATGACAAGGGGAAGGGAAATGTGAAACCGCGGGCAGCTGGCCTGGTTTCGATGAAGAAGGGCAAGAAGAATGGGAACCTCCCCAGATCGCTCGCCGACAGCTAAGGAGCTCCAAACCTCAACTGGAACAGGCTAAGAAAAATGTTCGGCCTCGATCTGTCAATGTGGAGAAGGAAACGACTCCGCGGGTGGAGGATATGGTGATTGCGGATGGGGAGAGACATTAGGTTCTGCCTCGAAGCCGCCTGGCCAGAATTCGCCATCGCGGTCTTGGGAGAATGCCCAGCTGAAAGATCAAGCTCTCTCGGACTCGGAGACGTCTCTCTCGGAGGGTGATGAGCAATGCTTTGAGATTAAGAGTTGCGCCCCAAGTAGGGTTCAGATCGATGTTTCCAGAACCATCTGAAGCCGTGTGGGGAAGGTGGTGGCGGCTTTTGAATCCGACGACATGCTGCTTAACATGGGTGGAGAGGGTATTCGTGTCCCTACGGCGTTGGGACATGAAGTTATGAAGAGACCTGCTTCGCCACAAGCCTCTGAAAGGGAGATGATCTGGAAGTTGAATAAATAGGGGACAAATATCCTTGATTCAAATACTGGTGGAAAAAGCGTGCTCTTCAGGAGGTGGTTGGAGAGGTTAAAGATTATCCCACGCCGAAGAAACGATTTGTTGAAGAAAAGTCGAATGATGAAAAGGTAGGAAGCCAGCCTTGAGTGGCCCCAATCGGATAAATGTGGCTGATGGCCTGGAAAGTGAGGAGAATTGGACCATCACTCACATTCCAGACTACTGCGGGAGACAGGGGTGGTGGGGCTGGCAGTGGAGGGCTGCTGCGATGGAGGACGCGCCAACGGTGGAAGGTTGCGGCGGTGGAGGATGGCTGCGTGAGAGAGGGAGGAGGGGGTGGGAAGAGTTAGGGTTTTGTTTTTAATTTATATGGGAGGGTAAATGATTGTGTGTGGTAAATATTTTTCATTCCAAAAATACCCTTCGTTTAATCTTAACCATCAATTTGAAAAAAAAAAAAAGAGACATGAGAGAGGGTGTATCCAATGGGGAGGAGGTGGGTTGTCAAATAGGGGTGGAAATCGGTACGGTATCGATATCCCAATACCAAATACCAAAATCCCGAATACCAAATTACACCCTAAAATCAATCCCAATCCCAATCCCTAAATAATTTCGGTATCCCAATCCCTAAATAATTTCGGTATCCCAATCGGTATTATCGAATACATAATTAATTACCTTTGTAATTAATAATTAAATATATAAATTAGATTTTATTGTTTAATTTTGGGCAAAGAGACTAAGCAAATAGTCTTGAGTTGTCTAGAGCTAACATCTCAAGTTCTTGTAATTGGTAATCTTTAATTTAACGAATTTGAGGTTGAGAGGCGACTAATACTAGTGTGAAATAGTGATGTAATGATCTATGTATTATTAAATGACACTTTTGGTGGTTAATGGTTGCGTAGTAGTGAATGAGAGAGTCTAGTTGAGACGATAAAATACACACTAGCTTATATTTCGATATTGATCGATATTTCGGTATATACCGATCCCAATCCCGTATTCCCTAATACCGAATAACAATTGAAATTCAATCCCAATCTCAATCCCTCAAAAATAATACGTGTATTCAGTAATACCAAATATAGACAAATTCGGTATGGTATTCAGTATATCCCAAATACCGGTACCAAACTTCCAGCCCTAGTTGTCACCGTATCCCATCCCGAAGATGAGAGATGGGGGGAATCAGAATTTCAAAAATTGCTCCTTAACCCACATCCAAATCCAATTCTATTTCCTAATTAATATGGCCGCGCGAGTAGAAATGACGGTAGGTCCGGGGCGGGTATCTCGATATCCATACCCGTACTATGGTAGGTCGAGTCCAGATCGGGTAATTTTTCACGGGGCGCAGATCGGAGCATGTCGACACAGTGGGTATGTAATTTATGTGAAAAAGCATTAGAAATATTTTTTGTAGTAGTATTACTCTTGTGAATGAGCACGGGTTATTCGGATTTTAGGTTACAAAAATTCCTAGTTTTCGAGCAGTTTCGAGTCGGGTCAACGGATCGGGTTGTAATTTGCCAGCCAGGTTTAGGAATACGGGAGGGAGAGTGGAGTGGAGGGTTAGACATTTAGGTTTTAGAAATTTATTAGGGGTATACTGGTCATTTTTTGCGTAACTGTGGGCGGGAAATGGCAAATAACAACTCTCATTAATACCATCCACTTCCAGCGTCCATGGCAGCCAAATAGACTTACTAATCTTAGATAGCCCCAAATGGAGGACCTCTCAGGGACACCAACTTCAACATGGCGTCCAGACGCTCATTCTCTATCTTCTCTCTCAGTTCTAACTTCTGGGTTTCAGGGATTTGCTGTACAAAAGAGATTCCCACAAGGCAATTAGTTCTCCTGACGAAACCAACACAATTAACTACTATAATAACTAGACATTTTGTTACCTTTGTCAACCATAACATGTAAGATGCTGAACAAATTGCTTGTTCTTCAAAATCTTCAAACTCATCATCACATCCTTCCGAGCATGAACTGACGAGGAGCAACTCCTCATCCAAAAACACACTGACGTTCACTTGGATGCTAGATTGGCGTTTTTGTGGAGAAGACACGTCGTTGACATCGCTTGTGAAACGCCTTATCCATAATAAGGAGAGAAAGCGACGGTAGAGCCATAGAGCCTGTGAACAAAAAGGGATTTGGGGTGGGCGTTAGCTTTGGAGGAAACTCTGTGTTGAGTTCAGGTTACAATGGAAACAAAGTGATCAGAAACAATTCCACAGCTACTTTAATTTGCAGAACGCAGTAATCGATTTTCATGTTTGTCAAGATCCCCTATATTCACATATTTTAAATGGGCTTGAGAAAAAATACCTCCCTTCCTAAATAACGCTTTATTAATTCTTCATTCCAGTCAAGCTCCTCCTGATACAAACAGCAGCATCAGAGTTATTAACTCACAAATTGTGCAATCTCGATTAATTACAAAAGAATTAATTAATGATGGCGGTGAATATGAAAGTCCAGACATTATACCTGCCAGATCAAATAAACTTCAACACAAGAATCACACGACCCCTCTTCTTGCTTACGGCAGCAATCCTCTAAAATTCTGATGATTAGCCGCTGCAATTTGGTGATAACTCAAACTGTGACAAGATGCTAGGAATGTCGTGGAATGAATACTCGTAAAATTATACATAGCTTTCTCTCATGAACTCTCTTTTAAATGTTCAAGGATTGTACTCACCATGCGATAATGAAAGCAAGAATTATCAGAAACATGTAACCCAGCCCACGTTTTGGATTTCTTCAGTTCCTGAATCACCTGGAGAAGCAATTTTTGCTTAAGCTGACAGACAGGACATCTAGATAAAGCAGCTCATAGATGACTGTGAAATGCATCAGCAGGTATGAACCAAAATACCCACAAAAGTTTCTTAGAATGAGAATGTATAAAAACCAGAAGAAAGTTTTTTTTTTTTTTTTAAAAAAAACTGCCCAATTCAAGACAGTGGGCTGAAATTCTTCCATACTAGTCATGCATGAGGGCCAAGTTGTCATGACGCTATAGGTAACAAAACATGCCAATCTAAGAAACGAACCTGTTCTCTATCCATGTAAGAAACCAACCAGCAGCGATGATTCCATGCACGATAGTTCATCTTTGATCTCTGCATAGATAGCAAGGCAGAAAAAGTTTAGAGTAGCAGTCAATAGCACACACGCCCAAGAATTAGTAAACCAGAGCTGTGTTCAAAGCCACTAGTATGGAGTGAAAAATGAAAGTCTAACAATACATGCATACACCTAGTCATGTCTGGAAAGATCCAACAATCAAACATGAAATTAATAAACTTCAAAGATGATGCTTTCTTTTCCCCTTTTCTTTTCCAATTTTTAAAATTTTGTAATGCAATTGTCAAGGAAATAGTATGCTTCTTTAGTATTATAAGTTGTTAAACCTTCACGAATCACTACTATGCAGTTCTTGAAATTAATATAAACCTCTGCTATCTTCTCCACCAGGTCAGATTCTTCCCTCAGAATCTCTTGCAAAGTTGTACGATTTCTGGCCATATTCTTGATCACCCACCTCCTGCCAATAACCGAAGGAAAAATGCATAGAACAAGTTAACAACTCATGCAGTTCAGCAGATAAACAACAACACAGGAAGAGAATCAACTAGTACTTCATAGATATTACCTATGGCTCCATGCTTGCTCGCTCTTGGGTGAATACGAAAGGACAAGGGCAGACAAGCGGAGCTCGTCAGTGAACATTGACGCTTGTGTCTTCTTCGATACTATTAACTTTCTGCAATTTGCATCTTCATAAAAATAAAATAAAAACAAGAACAGAGGGGCACACTGGGCATAAACAAGCTGCAATTAGAGGGTTTAAAACACAGGTGCGAATCTACCATTTCCGGATCATTACGATTCAAATCAACCAGACCCGTATAAATATAGAAATTTTCAAATTGGTTACCTGGAATTCCAAGCAGTCCCGAAATCAGGGCTTAACAACACAAGTGCTTTGCTGCATTTCATAACCACAATTCCTAGAGCTTCAGCAGAAGGAAGAGATAGGCCGTCGAGTTTCCTGTATTCTGCAATTGCATTCATGAATTGTTCTCTGGCAGCCTTGTACAATAGGAGAACAACCTCCGAGGAAATGCCCAGTTTGTGATCTCGAATCCAGAAGCTCCCATCTCCACCATCCAGCGCATCCGAGGCTTCCGATCGTGAGCTACCAGCTTCAGGGTCTTTCTCTAATGTCGCAAATTGCGAAGGGTGAATGAACCCTACTTCGTTGCTGAGCACACCAAAGCAGCCGAAAAACAAAATTGAACATAGGGTTGAGCGAATAAATTGAACGAAGGGGAAACTTCCTGAATCGAATTTGACGACGGTGCTTACATGAGGGGATCGGAATCGAGAATGCATTCGAATTGATTCAACAATTCCGACATGGTTTCGCTCTGAATAGTACCTTCAGGCTTCAGTCATCATTACGAACTCCAGCGTCGATTTATTAGAAATTGGAAACGGAAAGAAACTAATGAAATCAGCCCCCTATCATTCCAAACCCAATTTGGGAAGAAAGAAGACTCCGTCGAAACTCGGCCGAAGGGGAAGCGGACGGCGAGAGCTGCCGGCGAATAAAGATTTTGTTTCTCCCCCGATTCCACTTGGCAATAGCTGCCTTCGCAATCGCACCCTTCAACCGCGCGATGGTTGATCTAGTTTGTTGGGCTGCCCCTGCTACTGGGATCGTTGACTGCTCCTCTTGAATTGGGAACAAACACACAAAACGCCTTCGCAATCACACACGTTCTTCATATCCTGAAAGCACTTTCGCATAGAAAAACGCCTTCCTCCCAAACTCCAATAACTTCTTCATCGCTGTTAAAATCTTCAAATCTACCCAACAAATCGTATCTGCAAACAGAGAACAC